TCTGTTGTATTAGGCTGCCCTTCACCTATGCTGTGTGGAAGATCCCATCCCTTTCAAGTGAAAAATATAACAGATTTTAAAGTGGAAGATTTAAAAAAAAAAAATTAAATCTACTTCTTTGTTATTAAAATGAACACTTGAAAAATTCAAACCAACAACATTTTCTTTAAAGTCTCCATTATAATACATATTCTGTGTGATTTTCTAACTGCAAGATACTTGGTACTTTGCCAGTCCAAACTACTGGTATCGAAAAGGTCCCTATTTGCCATATGGTTTCCTAGTTAAACTTTCCCTGATCCAACAAATCCAATGTGCAACTTAAAGAAAATGCATTTTCAGAGGCTACTTTTACACAAACCATGGCATTTTGTTTTAAAATTGCACGGTCATCCAGGTACTCGTGCTCGTAGCGCAAGATACACAGATTTTTCTGGTCCGCAAAAAAACACCTCCGTTCATGTGACTTACATATATGACCCGTTTTACTTTTATCCAATCTTTCACTGTACAGATGAAGGATTTGTATCGCTGGTAGATTTTACCAAGGTTTTAATTGTAATTTAATTTCAATGGCATTATATACTTTTCAAGGATAACAATAGACTTGCCATTTTGTCGCTAAAAAGTATGTTTTATTGCAGTTTTCTAGCCGTTTGACATGGTAGGTTATTTGCACCTCTTATTTATAACACATACATGTTTAAGTCCATCTACATAGAAAAGGGCAACAAAACATTGAATTTCTTGCATTTTGGCAATTTAATTTACTAGTATGTATTTCAAATTTATAGATGATTTTATTCTATTCAAGATTATTGAAATGTACATAATTAGGTGTATGAAAACCCGTCCATTGTATTTATGTGTATATTGAATATCCACTATATGTAAAATATAAATTATTTCTTACAAGATCGTCCGAGTGTACTTATAGCATAGGGTTGCTGTCAAATATGAGCTTGAAAACACAATGTTTGACTATAGACGATTCTATGCTATTCAAGATTATTGAAATATACATAATTTAGTGTATGCAAACCCGTCCATTGTACTTATATTTATATCGAATATCCATTATATGTAAAATATTGAAAATGCTACATGTATATAGATTTTATGCGAGTGGCTTATGTATATTTGTTAAATAAATTTGATTGAAATTATTTCTCACACGAAAGTTCATCTTAGTGAATTTATTATGCATGGTTGCTGTCAAATGTGAACTTGAAAACACATTGTTTGCTTGAGATAGCTTACGGTTGTTTGCCTGAGAAAGAGTTGCAAAATTTAAAGGCTTATTCAAACATGTTGCAAGACTGAGGCAATTTTTGTTAGGATGTAAAGTGTTATACGCTTCAGGTTTCTGTATCTTATAACACAGAGCTCAGTGAGTACATGCAAGTCCTCCAGGTGCCATTAATTTACATGTTAAAAAACGTGGCAGTTTAGCGCACCATGTCTGAACAAGCCTTCATTGATAGATGTATGAACTCAAGTAAACTCTAAACTTCACTCACTTGTAGACTTCACAATATTAACATCTGAAAACCATCAATATTTATTGTTTAAAATTCTCTGATAAATTCTTTTACCAAACAGTATTGTCGGAAATACATTTACATGTAAATGATAACTAAAAGCAGCATGACAGTACATAAAAACATTTGTACAGACAATGAAATGATTTCTGTGCAAGTTACATTCAAATTCATGTATTGCATACATATCAATCATATATGGCTAAGGTAAGCATATCGTCTCCACCCCTATAAAGAGCCTAGTCTTTAATAAGGCTAAAGGACAACTACTCTACCAGAAAGCAGAACAATCAGGGAACAGGACTGGTGAAAGTTCAGACAAAAACTAAGAAATGTAGTTTTATTTTTAAAGTTCTAATCACTATACCTATGGGCACTTCAAATTGGCTGAATAGTAACATAGTGATGGAAAACTTGCCCATTAGTTTAAACGCACAAAAGAATAAAAATGTTAATTTTCTCAAATATACAACTCGGAAGTGTCCTTTCTTTTTCTTTTTAAGGACCTATCAATAAATATGCTATCCACAACATATTTTTAGTCATGCCCTAATAAAGGGAGAAAGCGCGTGGGGATAAAAATAAAACTCAGATATTATGATATTTTTGTGCACCTAAATGGGAGAATTGTCCATGTCTATGTCTCAATCCATTGGCCAAACTGCCAATTTGACATTGCATAGATTTATACATGAATTTAAAACAACCATTATTATCAATCTGATGATTTATTTCAAACTCCATTCTATTGCTCATATTTTTCTGCTTTCCTACAAATGAAGTTAGGATTGCCGTTTCCAAGTACCTGTAAGGTCTGTATATGCTAGTACACTGTGTGGACATGTAATACAGTACGTACCAGAAATGAATAATCTTTTACAAGTCTGGCAGTATAAATCGTGCTGCTCTCAAAGGGCATACAAAACTTGCACAAACTAATACTATCATGGTAGACTGTGTATATGAATTAGCACATATTAGCACATCAACTGATTGTTATTCACTTCAAAATTTTAGTTGAAATTCACAATCATGTACATGTACTTTGGCAATGAAAACTCACAGTACAATACACAATGTTATACTCTTTTGGTTATACAGAAATAAGACATATATATATATATATCTACCACAGAGTCATCATGCCTCCAAGATGAAAGACACCATAAATTTCACACTTGTAGATGGTCATAAGTTCGTCTTTCGTTAATACTGCCATTACAACTTTGGCAGGTCCACGGTTCGACACAGGAACAATTCTGATACAAATTATGATACATGTATTTGCATATAAGAATATCCATATTTTATGGATTAATTATTTTAACCTGTTATCTGCATGAATCTTTATACGCAAGAAATGGTCAATTTTTTTTCAAACGAACTATAAACAAAATTAAGTCAGTGGCCTAGAATCTTCATATTTATTTACATTCTCTTTACCTTTTAATAAATTAGTGTTAACCTTCATATTATTTACAAATCAATTAAACTCCATATTTTGTTATTTTATTAAATGTATAACACTCTATACTTTTTACACTTTATAAACAATGAATTGCAAACATTTACAGAAAGTCAGACACATATCCTTTATCTTCTCTAGTTCAAAGATATAAAGGAAAAGTACTGGATACAATTTGATATAGATGTAGTATTCTGTTTTGTACTGTTCATTAATGCTCAACGGGTAAAATAAACCCCTCAATAAGCGAGTTCGTAATTAGGATTTGCGCATGGGCAGATAAAGGTCATCCGTTCCCAAATTGTAAAACCAGCGAGAAGAATACTGGTATCGTGCTCATGAAGGTTTTGTATCCAGTATCATTGATGCACCAACAGTACATTTATCTGATACACAGGTGGAAGTATTCTTCTCAAGAGGCAAACAAAAGGTATTCATGAAGCATCTCCATCACTTCGGCAGTGATTATTCTAAAATGCACACGTGGGACGTATCCATAGTGTAAAAGATCTGTAGATATTTTAGTGTCATGCGTTCCGAAGCTATTTACGAACTGGCTTATTAAAGTTTGATCAATTATACATTGTATCTATCTTGTTAAGGGATAATTATCGCTTTGTTGCAGTACACCAGATTAAGGGGCAGGGTGAAAATTAAAAGTTTCAAAATTCACTGGTAATGATACTAAACATAGTGATGATTACGCCATAACAAGAGAAATATAATCAATCAAACTTGAGTTTAAAAACGTTTTTTGATAATTTTATATACATGTACCTTTTCTATCATACGACATAAATCACCTCAATTCAATGGCACAATTTATTACTACACAGAGTCATATCAAAGATTGTATAAACTCTTTGGCCCGAATTCACAAAGGAGGTTTGTTGACAGGTTTATGTGCGTCATATGACACGTTTTGACTCGTTTTGATGCGTTTCAAACCAAATGCATCGAAACGCGTTATATGACACACATAAACCTAGGTTTGTCGACAAACCTCCTTTGTGAATTTGGGCCTTTAAGTACATCATTATACATGGAAAAGAGATTAATTTTTACAATGTTATACACTTTAACATTTAAGACTCGTTCACCACTGCGTTTTTTTAAAAAGATGACATAAAGTGTAATACGTTCTACGTATCTGTATATTATAACACAGAGCTCAATGAATATGCACAAGTCTTTTTTTGTTGTGCGCAGTTGGCATTCACTTACACATTAAAAGAACCGCAGCATTTTATTTTGCTGCGGTTTGTCGCACCATATATGAACAAGCCTTTACTGTGAGATATGAAACGCAACAATAATTCAAACTCATTGTCATATAGGCACATCATCATTATAAAGTAATTGCTCTGATAATATCTTTGGTTTCATCCGAGTATCGAGGTAGAATGCGTGAGAGGCCAATACACACTGGGTCATAGCTGGGTCAGACTTTGTAGTAGGTTCTGGACCCTGTTTCATAAAACTTGATATCAATAACAAGTTACAAGCTACTGTTATAAGCTACTGAAATCAGGCATCTGATTGGCTGAGAGCAAACTTGATATCAATAACAAGTTACAAGCTACTGTTATAAGCTACTGAAATCAGGCATCTGATTGGCTGAGAGCAAACTTGATATCAATAACAAGTTACAAGCTACTGTTATAAGCTACTGAAATCATGGCATCTGATTGGCTGAGAGAAAACTTGATATCAATAACAAGTTACAAGCTACTGTTATAAGCTACTGAAATCAGGCATCTGATTGGCTGAGAGCAAACTTGATATCAATAACAAGTTACAAGCTACTGTTATAAGCTACTGAAATCAGGCATCTGATTGGCTGAGAGCAAACTTGATATCAATAACAAGTTACAAGCTACTGTTATAAGCTACTGAAATCAGGCATCTGATTGGCTGAGAGCAAACTTGATATCAATAACAAGTTACAAGCTACTGTTATAAGCTACTGAAATCAGGCATCTGATTGGCTGAGAGCAAATTTGTCATAGAAATTTAGCATTTGTTATAGATAACAAGTTTCATGAAACAGGTCCCTGGTATGCTCTCCTCGCTGATTTTCTTTTGAAATTTAATGAAGAAGGTTCACTGCATTCACTGGGCTTTAGAGTCTCCTGTAGCTCTGCAAGGAGAGTCAAATCATGAGAGACAAAATTATATTTGTCTTTCTTTTCTTCATACAATATATCTATTAGTGCACAAGCCATCATGAATTCATAAAAAATTGGGTACGGGCAATATTATATTATGTCAATCTGACATCACTTCATGATTAATGGTTATAATATCCCATGAATAAGGATCTTCATCTACATATATATGTATTGTCTGTTCAAAGCCAGGAGGGTATTAACTCTGTGTTAAAGTATTGAGTAAATATCCCTCAGGCTCCAAACAGACAATATAATGGGCAATTAAGAGTTTTTGTAAGGCCATAATCTACATTGTTTGGATATGAAATACACCCTCATTAATACATGAAAGAGAAAGCCACATTGTGAGGGGAGGGGAATGTAATGCCCCCCCCCCCCCTCCCTCCCTCCCCACTCCCATTTGAAAGAAAAGGTAATGCAGTCACTGTGCATTAGCTTGCTACACAGAGATTTCACTGATTTCACTGTCTCCCCCCCCCCCCCCCACCCTCCCTCTCTCTCTGATAATGCTCAGTCTTGATAAAGTGAAACCTGTCTATAAAGACCACCCAAGAGAGACAAGAAAAGTGTTCTTTATAGGCAGGTGGTCTTTATGTACAGGTTCCTTTAGTACATGTTTCAATAAAGAACCATTTTCAAGGAGAAAAAATGTGGTTTTTGTAGACAGGTGGTCTTTCTATACAGATGGTCTCTAAAGCAGGTTTGACTGTATCAACTTTGCCTCTACTTACTTTGGTTTGTTGCTGTGTAGCATTGGTTGGAGGACCAGTGGGAAGAGCAGCATCCATCCAATAAACCAGACATGTCCAATGTAATACATGGAGGCATAAACCTGAGGGAGAAACCAGAACAGTTATTTAAAATCAATAGACCATAATGCGGCATGATGAGGGCTTGATAAGAGTCATAGAAGGTCGTATTCATGGAAAGAAGAAGAGGGGAAGACCTCGTAAAGGTTTTCTAGACGATGTAATTACAGAAAGTGAAGCAACAGGGTATGAAATGCTGAAACGGATGGCTCAAGACCGAGGAACTTGGAGAGACACTTGATATAAAATTTTGATTGGGTCACTGAACCTGTCATAAACTGACAGAACACTATTGACGATGAGACCAGTTTGTAGATACAATCTGTGAATGCACATATAAAAGTCATTTGTAACAAAATTGTAAAACACATCGAGACTGATATTGAATTTGTGCTCATGAAAGTTTTGTAATCATTATTCATTCATCCATAGACAGCACATTCTCTGTTATACAGTTGAAAGTATTCTTCTCAAGAGGGCAAACAAAAAATATTATGAAGCACCTCCATCACTTTGGTAGTGATTATTCTAATGTGCACAAAATGGGACATCTCCATTTGTAAAAGATGTGTGGATATTTGGGGGTCATTTGTACCAAAGCTAATTACAAACTGGTCTATTGTATCAAATATTTGGATTAGAGCCGATGGGTGGTATTCTCATAAGTTAAGCCGGGACTAAGTCCAGACTAAACAAGAATTTTAGTTCACACTTCCATGGAATGCTAGGTCTCATCTTCCTCCTTTAATATTCATGAGAAAGATAATCTACCAAAGACTTTGTTGAAATTTAGTTCATACTCATTATCTTTTTCTTCCCATTTCATTGCAAAATTATTTTTTTGGAGACTTTTCATTGAAGGATTAAAATAATCTGTACAGGGTAAATGAGTTGGCAACAGGCACTCCATAAAAGTGTGGACTGAGTTCGTACGCGCTAACTTAGTACGCGCTACCATGTGCTGAGCATCAATTTTGATGTATGTTTTCAGCAATATAATTGCCAATTTTCATTATGTGACAAATTGATCTGTCCAGATTTATGTTTCTTGAGAATGTGACATAAAGCTTACATCTAAAAACATCAACAAATCTACTTTTCATTCTTGATTTACGAAAAGCACTAAAAAACATCCAATTTACAAGGGGTATTGAATAATTTAGTTATTAACTGTAGATTGTAAATCACATTGATTACCTGAGTAAATAAGCCCCACTTGCTTAGCTGAAAGCTGATGAGGGCATAGGAAAAGCTGGTCATGACGAATACATTGCAGATCGCCGTCAGCAGAAAAGCTATGACAGGATTGGACATTAAAGAGCCAAATCCGAGCTTTCTCCATACTTTCAGCCACTAAACAGACACAAACCAAAATGCAAAAAGAAAACGTCATGGAATAAACTCCCCATTAAATATCAATAGGAGCCCATTCATCTAATCCTCTTCTGAAGCAACATTGAAAAACCTGAAATTTAAGTTAATGGTATTCTTGCACATATTATGAGGTACTGAAATTTAATATTGTACAGAACTTTGAACCACTCCAAAAGTGCTTTTATGAATTTCTTAAATGTACTGCATGTGCAATTTGTATCAAAGTATCAAATATCAGCACCAAAGTCCTAAGCTTTTGCAACACATTCATGTACCATGTGTAAGCTTGAAAACTATAGAAGGGGCAACAAATATTGTGTGGTTATTGATCCTAAATGACAGTTTGAAACATATATTTTTGTACGGGGGGGGGGTCGACAGAGTCTTATAAGGCTCGAATATCCTCAAATCATTAATCTTATATTTGTAGATACATCCTGTGCATGAGCAGATAAAGGTCCAAGCTTGAAATCCCACTGACACAATCAAAGACAGGCAATCATTATTCATTTACACAACAGTGATTTATTACATAATACAAAGGTAGAAGTAATCTTTAAAACATAAAACTTATTCATTAGGACATCCATCATAAGGCAATGATTATTCTGAAATGCACAAAACCCCATCAAGAAATACACCCTAGTCTCTCAGAGAGTCTTCAGGTGAGGGAAAAGTAAGATAATGACTTTACTAGTTCATCATATGGAGGGGGGGGGGGGGGGTGGGGGGATTTTGGAAAATGCAGTGCACTACATATTCATAAGGCCTGTTGGTCATAAAACTAAAGGCTAATCCTGGTGATTGACAACACCTGTTATTGGGTAAACACCCGAATGGTGTTAAATTTCCCCATGAGAGCCCACTACTATGCATTTCTAAAAGGTCTCTGAATATTTTGTGTCATTTGCACCAATGTGCTTACTGCCAACTTAGAGGATCACATCTTTGTAAGATGTTAGAGGATAATAATTTGAATATTCTTTTGTTAAAGAGAAGGTTGAGTTCTGGGAAGAGGTGAACAATAATTTGTGAGCGTTATCATTGTATTATGCAAGTGTGGAAGAACATCAGAGAAAAATGTTCCCTGAAAAGCATGGCTCTTCAAATGCCTTAACATTCTAAATATGGCATGTAACATCATGAAAATCAGGAAAGAGTTTTATGCTACTTGTTTGTGTAGTCCCATATACATCTTTCTGTGTACAGTGCTTGTAACTTTACCAAGATGGGCCAAATTTCTTATCATTTTGATGATTCCAGAACCTTGCAATACACACCAATACTTACATGCTACATGATCAACCTTTTCTGATCCATTCCACACCTTTTCTTTCACAATGCAATTGCATAAGCAGAACTCAACTTTATCTTCAAAGGTACTATGTCCCATTTGCAGGCCAAAAAAATGAAAAAGTTAAATTCCAACTGCTTTTGAAGAATAATACTAATTTAGAACTTCCCTAAAAAAGGTGGGGCTTGAAAATGTCTTCAAGTGGGAAAATAACGACTATTAGTTGTCAAATCGACTTTAGGGCTATAGAGCCCAAAAGTAATAGTCTTGATTTTCAGACAATTGTACCGAATGGTCATACGTTTTATGCTGCGCAAAGATTCAATCAGTTTAATCTTGGCCATCACAAGAAGTGGGTTATTGATGTAGACAAATGCTCATGTACCCTTTACAACTCTTTTCATGTATGTTATTACCAAAGAAGAAAAAAAGCCAGTCAGTCACTCAATTGTGTCTGACAGTAAAGTCTAGCAAGTAAGCGGGTTTCCTTGCATAATTTGAATATGAGGACACTGCTAACCAAAGAAGAAAAAAAGCCAGTCAGTCACTCAATAGTGTCTGACAGTAAAGTCTAGCAAGTAAGCGGGTTTCCTTGCATAATTTGAATATGAGGACACTGCTAACGTTTAAATTTCACAGATAGGACATACATGACATATTCATAATTCCAGCAAAGTTCTACAGCATTTGAGGTTGGCTGCAAAAGGGACATAGTACCTTTAAGGAATGACTCACCTGCTCGTCAAATGTGAGAGTGAATAATTGGAAGAGGAAGCAATGGAAGTACCCGATGTAGACGCCATGCCACAGAGCAAGGAACATCAGAGTAACAAACTGAGACAGCTGTCTGTTGCCCAGGAATTTCAAACGCTTATACACGCATCTACAAGATGGAAATAGTGAGAGTAAAATGTAGAGCATCCAGAAGAAGTTGAAATTATGAACAATGATAGTAATGATAACAAAAACAACAACAATAACAAATAAATATTATACAGTAGGCTTGCCGTTGCGCCATGAAAGAGAGAAGGGGGATTGGGGATAAGCAGCATCTAAATAATAATATTTGTATAGCACTAGATACTAATCTTTCCTAGCACTGCACTATTTTTACCCCATCTTTGGTCAAGCTACCCCCTAAAAGGCAGGCACCCATTTACATCACCAGGATGGAGAGAGTCAGATATAGATTAATGTCTTGCCAAAGAATATTAGTGCCAAGGCAGAGATTCCGAACCTGTTCCTAACACATAACTCACACTAGTATAACAAATTATAATGGTAAAATAGTCAATTGCATTTAACACCAACCTAAAATTAACATGCCTATTGATTTTGTGCTTTCAAACAACTTAAGCCACAAAGAATTTAAATGAACACGCCTTCAATTGTCTCTTCCTATACTGATAACAGGAAGTCTTAAGAACATTTCTGTCTTTAAACACGCTACTTTCTGATAACTGCAGTTTACATGAACATCAAAGAGTAATGTCTGGTTTTAAAATAATTTTTGTTGCGATACTCCTGTTCGGGGTGGACTTCCCCTTTAAACACTAGTGCTTGAGAAACACGATACTTACCTTCCGGCCCACTTGCTGGTATTGGTGTTGTAATTAGACACCAAACCCCTGAAGGTCCCTGCCGTCTCAAGGCCATATACATTCATGTTGGCACTGCCTTTCCACTCTGCCTTCCCTTCTGTATCAAGACCACTATAAGCAATGCCAGTCATGATACTTGCACCTTCCTGAAGATGGGAAGAAACATGATGACAATGATGATTATGAAGATCATCATTATTATTTCTTTATTGCAACCGAATCTCAAGGTTGAATTTCAAATAAAAATAAAAATACAAACAGATAGCTAATGGTAGAAATAATGTACATAAAGTCAAAGAAACTGTTGAATCTGATAGATCAATAGATGAATAACAGTGTGCTACTGTACGTTTGTCTATAAATTGAGCAATAATAATGGAAATTCAAGTTTAGCTTGAATTTCATTCTGTAATACGTCACAACATTGCCAATTTGTACTTCATTAATTGCAACTTCAGAAATTCATAACCTGAATATTTTTAATCGGATACTGCTCAAACTTTCACTAAGCTTCTTCTCTCAGTTTTCTGCTTTAATTAAAACCAACTAAACATTAGGGTGGACTTCCCCTTTAAAGGTACTATGTCCCTTTTGCAGCCAACCTCAAATGCTGTAGAACTTTGCAGGAATTATGAATGTGTCATGTATGTCCTATCTGTGAAATTTAAACGTTAGCAGTGTCCTCATATTCAAATTATGCAAGGAAACCTGTTTACTTGCTAGACTTCACTGTCAGACACTATGGAGTGACTGACTGGCTTTTTTCTTCTTTGGTAATAACATACATGAAAAGAGTTGTAAAGGGTACATGAGCATTTGTCTACATCAATAACCCACTTCTTGTGATGGCCAAGATTAAACTGATTGAATCTTTGCGCAGCATAAAACGTATGACCATTCGGTACAATTGTCTGAAAATCAAGACTATTACTTTTGGGCTCTATAGCCCTAAAGTCGATTTGACAACTAATAGTTGTTATTTTCCCACTTGAAGACATTTTCAAGCCCCACCTTTTTTAGGGAAGTTCTAAATTAGTATTATCTTTCAAATGCAGTTGGGATTTAACTTTTTCATTTTTTTGGCCTGCAAATGGGACATAGTACCTTTAACCTGGTAGTCTAGCTAGGCCCTCATAGGGATTATTTGGGGAGTTTACTTGGGTCTGAAGTCTTACCGCAAGCAGGAACACTCCTCCGTATCTGGCTCTGTACGAAGTCCCCCAAAGATACACAGTAAAGAGCTTGTGTAGAAGATTTTTCCTCTGTGTTGTGGAAAAAACCAAAAGCAAATCATGAATCATTACCCAACAGACCAATGGAGTGGGTAGATAAATATGAATATCACATTCAGTTAGTTAAATCACTCCTTTTTTTAAAATCTTACAAAGAGGTTTTTGCAAGCTAGAGCTTCAAAAACTATTTTGGGATTTCTTTATACTTGCAATAAAGAGTGGTTCTGCGTGCACTAAACAATAGAGTTGGATCCTGGCATGAAGGATTGATAATACGCTGTAAAATCCCAATGTATTGGTACCTTATAGGGAGGAGATTGGCAAACAATTGATATTAGTGAACGAGAACATTGCCCGAATCGATACACAAAGTGATCAGTGATCAAACACACAGGCCCGAATTCACAAAGGAGGTTTGTCGACAAACCTTGGTTTTCGTACGTCATATGACGCGTTTTACGCGTTTTTTACAAACCTGGTTTGTAAAGAACAAAAGGAGGTTTGGCGAAACAAAAGGAGGTTTGAGCTCAAACCTTGGTCTGAGCTCAAACCTTGCTTTGTGAATTCGGGCCATAGTGTAGAACATTAATACACCGAAAAAAGAAAGATACGTGTAAGAAAGTTAGGTATAGAAAGTTCTTGAAAAGAGCTCTGCTAAAGATAAAAACATTGTTGCATAGAAATCTCCTGTTTACTACACAATTTTTATTTAAAGCCTATCTACACTAGCTTGGCCAGGAGGGATTAGACCTCCCTGCATGGTCACTGGCAGGTGGTTATTTCATCAAATCAGCTCTCAATAAACATAAGAAAAAGGGGACCATGGGGAATCAATGTGTACCGCTTAGGCATTGTTGGTTATATAGAGGGCACAAGTAGCTACAGGTAGTGCAGTCACGTTTAAAACAGCTCTCATGAATGATGTATCAACTATCAAATAATTTCCTTTTTTTCAAATTGAAAGGTGAAAAGAAATAATAATTTGAATCCTACCGTGAATTCTTCAGTCATGAAGTGTGCATCAGGCATTATGAGATTGAGGCCGACTCCCACACACACATAGATGACACCAAAGCAGAATCGATTGATGGAATAACGAGCATTGGACGGATGCTTCTGTTCCCATTCAGGTATAAGGCGATTGTTGGTGTAGTCAAGATACAGTCGCATGGAGAACTGATAGGTGGACAAAGAAACGGAAAACATTGATTTTCACAAGACAGATATGGTCAAAACATTAAAAGTTACGGTCTCATGAAGTGTACAAACATTTATGATAAAAGATAACATTTATGAAAAACACATTTTAAATGATAATTTATTGTGATATATATACAGTGTTCCATGGAATCACACTTCACATTTTTTTTTTAAACTACAGGAATATGGATATATGCTCCAAACATCTTGAACTTTTAGTGTACACTCAAGCCTGTCTACCGTATATCCACTGAAGGCCATCAAAGGGAAATATATGTAGATAAAGTGTGGCTACTGACAAAAAAGCAGGCTTTTTTGATAGGTTCTACACCACATACATCTTGCTACAGAGAAAAAAATTCTGTGGCCACTATAGACAGGTGGCCTTTTCTGAGTGGTGGCCACTTTGACACGTTTGACTGTTTTAGGGTGCAGTTTAGGCAGGATTTCTTGTAAGATATCTTACATGTAAATATATTCTTACTAACTGTTAGAAAGTTCTCAACTTATAAACACTAGAAGGGGTCATAACATTTCAAGTAAAGACCTAGTGTTGGAGTCTTGTGATCTACAAATCGCTATAAACAAATGTTTGATCGAGCGGTAGAGGAAACATAGGAACATACCTAACTAAACATAACTAACCAAACGTAACTTTCAACTAAACATAAATAAACATAAATAACTAAACAAATAGAAACAAATTGAATCTTCAAATCACTTTTAACAAAAGTTTGATCAAGCAGGACAGAAAAAATATGAACATACCTGAGGGCCGGCTAAGAATCCTCCAAAGAAAAGACAGAAACCTCCCATCTCCAGTAACGATGGGGCACGAGTCAAATAGTGCTGTTGTTGCTCTGCACTCAATTTATCCTGATGTATAATCGAAAAGAAGAAGAAGAGAATGATCACATGATAATTGAAAAAAATGTTGAACACACATACAATTAGACCCAAGTTGTTAGGATTCGTTAACCAGACCGAGCTGTGATGATCACAGACCAGCGCCATGTTTCATAAAACTTGTTATCCATATAAACAAATGCTGAAATTATATGACAAATTGGCTCTCACCCAATCACATGCCAGGATTGCAGTAGCTTATAACAATTGATGTAGCATGCTATTGAGAACAAGTTTTATGAAACAGAGCCCAGAATCGTTTTTCTCTCATCCAACAAACCAATTTCTACATGTAGGACAATAGTGTACAGATGAGTAAGCATTGACTTAGTTCATACCTACGACTTGGCTTGTACAGATCAGAAGGATGACGAGAAATGCACGCATCACACAAGGTGAAATTTCATTCCACGGTTCATTCTCCCCCAAAATAGATGTTTGAATTCTTTGGGCTCCTGTTTTGCTTTCACAGCAGTGAATTTATCTTGAGTGCTTTTCTTCTAAATCGTATATGGCCATGTGTGGTCATTTTCAAGATCACGACAGACAATTTACGGTCGTGATTATGACTCAGTCCTGGGGGGGTGTTTCACAAAGATCCTAAGTAGAAATTAACACTAAGTTGGACTTAAAAATTATGGACAGCCATTGGAGCCTTAAAATGAAATATATTCAAAAGCAGAAATTCAAGTATTTTAGACTTTTTATAAATTCCACATCAAGAACATAGAATCTCCCATGATAATAGAAAATATGAATGATTTGAATCAACATTTTATGTCTTTTAAAATAACTTTTACAAAATGTTTTCAAGGAAGCTAATGGCTTTCCATAATTTTTAAGTCCAACTTAGAGATAAGTTCAACTTAGGATCTTTGTGAAACACCCCCCAGGGCACCGTCTTATAAAGAGTTGCGATTGATTGATTTGGATCAATCACAAGTCCTCCAATCAATCCAAAGTTTGCTGTCTCCTATCTCTTATGTTCATAGTTGCGATTACAATAAACTCTTTATAAGGCGAGGTCCTGGTGTACAAGGAATTAGTTAAAATAACGGGTTGATGCATTCTTTCAGGACAGTTCTAAGATTTTGAGTACATCCCTCCTCTCTCCCTCCCTCCCTCCCTCCCTCTCTCTCTGTAAGAAAATGAACTATATATTGAGGCACAGTGGCACACATATTTGGTCCAGAGACCTTATAAGGACACCAATATAATAACTGCTCCGCTCACCTTTGACTTTTAACCATCATAGAGGTCAAGTGTCACTCCTATGACCTTTAGAACCATGACCTTATAAGGACACCAATATGATAACTGCTCCACTCATCTTTGACTTCTGACCATCATAGAGGTCAAGTGCCACTCCTATGAACTTTAGAACCATGACCTTATAAGGACACCAATATGATAACTGCTCCACTCACCTTTGACTTTTGACCATCATAGATGTCAAGTGCCACTCCTATGAACTTTAGAACCATGACCTTATAAGGACACCAATATGATAACTGCTCCACTCACCTTTGACTTCTGACCATCATAGAGGTCAAGTGCCACTCCTATGACCTTTAGAACCATGATACAATGAGGTGTATCCCAGAGCACATCATGTGTCCCATCAGAGATTGATACTGTTCCAATAAGGAAGTATATCTGTGGGGGGAAATGGAGAGAAGAAAATAAAAATGGGCCAGCATGCCCTATCCATAAAGGCATATCAACATAGAGGGGGAGGGGGAGGAAAAACAATTCACATGCCCACCGAAAGGAGGGGGGGGGGATAAAGATATTTTTCATATGTACATCATACTATCCATGGTTCAAGGACTTGAGCAGCTTTTGATCACTCTGTCCTGCCTCCCAATTCAGCCAATCCTTGATCGGCCTTTGCTTCATAATTCAAGTAGTCACTAGTCACAATGGCAAGTACAGTGTATGAATGATTCATGTTTTCTGATTATCTTGGAAGCCACTTTGAAAAGCAGATTTGAAATCAATTCAAAGCTAACTTCTGCACACTTTACTAAATGGTACAAATCTACATGTATGTCAATGGACAAAAAACAACTACACTGTATGTACAATGCCTTTGCTTGCTTGCTAGGTGCCTTTTCTGTTCCGGACATTGGCAATCAAGGCATTCCATCTACAACTATCTCTGGTTCTTTGTAAAGTGACGTTACTTCTGTTACCAGCCAGCCAAATGAACTTATCCATTATAAATGCTGAATAGTACACGAAGCTATATTAAGATTATAAGAAAAGACAGGATGCTTAAAGAATCATGGTAAAACATGTAACTTACAATGTACCTTTCCTTGCCATTTACTAATTACGTGTACTGTACCATGAACTTTCTACTTTCTATCTATCTATTACATGTATATCTTTACATCTCTATCTATGTGTAAATATCTATCTACAATGTATCTTTCTGTCTGTCTACAATACATGTATCTTTAATCTATTTCTTAGCCTATCTTCCATAATAGCTGGAAGCGAGTAACTGTGTAAAAAATCACTTGGCTTCAGGAAGTTCACAGGGGTGGCCGAAAGCTTGCCTACTAAATTTTAAGGTTGGTAGAAGCTTAAACTACACCTTTTGAAATTCATTTGTTAACTATATCAATGGAACAGATGTCTTTCTTTGTGAAAAAGCAGCTATAAAAATGCCCTCCACGTGCCTTTTGCAAAGATGCCTTTATTAAAGTCACTCACCATGTTCCATAGGAAAGAAAGCACCACTGATGTTACACTGCCTCCAGCCACAGCCAGAAGGAGGTAGTTGAAAAGAACTGTGATAACAAAATGCAATGTCTGCATCCCTGTGAAAAAGAGAAAAGAATTATGAAGATATATATTTTATATCCACTTTAAAATGATAATAACATTGAATGCCTTTTTAGCTACACTTGTTCTGAATAATGACTTAAATGTACTTAAATGCATATACACACCAGTAAACAAGCCAGGGCCCCATTTCACAAAAACGTACCATTGATGGTCCAATTGTTAGATGAACTTCTCCTACATGTGTATATCTCTGTATTTGAAAAGGTAATTTCAGTGCTGTAAGACTCTGTACCAGTTGTTAAAATAGCTGTACCCAATACTTGCATCTTAGTACTAAAATAAATCACCATCATATTTATATTCATTGAATTGTTTCTAATGTTTGAAAAGTTTACAGGGCTATCCAACCCTTGGAATAAGTTCATTTGTATGAAAGCAGAAAAATAAGAAAAACAGAATTGCAACGGTTTAAAATAAATCGGACTAATAATAAGAAAGTTAAGAATGTTTGAAATATGAGATCACTATGTCGATGACTCTATAGATGTGAATCTCAAATTGGCAGTTTGGTCAGTGAAATGTGACGTAATTGTGGTTAACTCTCCTGTTTGTTGTGTACAAAAATATCATTAATTTCTCTTTTTCTGTTAAGTGCCTTCTCCCGGGGGGGGGGGGGGGCATACTACTAAAATCATTTTATGGGTACAGTAACTGGGATAGGATATTTTAAAAGTCCCCTAAAGAGTAAAGACCCTCCTGAGCCATACATTTTTTTAAATTGAAATTTTAGTCATTTTTTGTGTGGGAACAAATGGAAAAGTTGTCTGCCATTACATCACAGAGACATTACCAATTTAGCCAACTTAAAGACCCCCACACCAACAGTGATTACAACTTTAACAAATTCAAAAATTATCCCATTTTTTGTCGGATTTCATTCAAAGTTTAAAGCTTTCAATGGTCGACTCTTTTTGTTTTCATCTAGAGTAGTTTGCTATTGATGTTAGATTTCCCTTTAATCTATCTATTCCTTTAAACTCTACAACCCTTTTTTTTATAAAATTAGTGCAATCTTGCTATCATAACAAAGACCAATCTAAGATGACCTTTACTCTCTGGGAGATATTAGACTACAAAATCAGCAAACAAGCTTGAAGTCCATGCCTCAGAAGATACTAGAGATACATGTAGTGTACAATGATCTGGTTTTCATTAACTTAAACCTCAGAGCCTGCTATTATCCCTCTTATCTATAGAGCTGCCATGCAAACTGATACTAAGTCTGAAGTTAAAGATAAACTTTAGTACCGGTAATGCGATTGCATTGTGAAAGAAAAGGTGTGGAAAGGATCAGAAACATTTGATCATGTAGCATGTAAGTATTGGTGTGCACTGCAAGGTTCTGGAGTCATCAAAATCATAATAAATTTGACTGAGTCTTGGTAAAGTAACAAGCACTCACATAGAAAGCTATATATGGGACAACACACATGGTGTCGGGGATAGTACTACCTTGATTTCCTTGTCTTTCTATGCTCATTACTCAGCCAGTATACATTTTCTTCCAAAATTGTTTGGCACATGTCATTTATTTGTAATCTTGAACATTCAGTGTAAGTTTCATTTGATTATGTGAGAATTATTTTTTTTTTTTTTTACCAGTACTGGAGTTTATCTTTAATGATACTATTGGTCCTTGCATATTTAAGTTCATTAGTGTGAGAATGGGTTAGTTCAATCTGCTGAATTACACACTATCCAGTAAATTTAGGTACTGAAATAACACTGAACAGTGCCAGGAATTTTGTTCTAGAGTATATACTGATGGTCAAGAGCTATGTTCGGAATTCCCATTCGAGAAGATGTTAACTGATACTTTTTCACACTGGTTTTGCTTAACCCCGTACTTTGCTTAGCCCCGTACTATCCGTAACCCCGGACTATTTTTTTGGCTTTTCACACACGCTGTTTTTGGTCCCGTACTAGCGCCTATTCCGGAATAAGATAATTCCCGCTGTTCTCACTGCATTTCGTTAACCCCGGATATCGTGTATGTTATGATTGGACATACTTCGCATCTATTGGCTATCTGGCCAGCTGCGATACGCTCCATTGCGTAGTACCGGACTATTTTTCGTTTCTGTTCTCATTCATTTGCTTAGCACTGCAATTGCGGGTTAGCAGGAGTTAGCACCACAATTGCGGAGTTAGCCCTGCTATTTTGCAGGGTTAGTTAACCCCGTACTATAGGTGGGGTTAGCCAACTTTAGCCCACTTTGGTAAAAACCAGTCTGAACAGAAAGTGGAATAGGCTTAACCCCGTACTATAGGTGGGGCTAAGACCCCCCCCCCCCTTAACCCCACCTATAGTACGGGGTTAAGCAAAATATTGCCAGTGTGAAAACAGTATTAGTAGAGTGCGAGACCAAGTCTGGCGAATTTGCCAGAATTTTGTAGTCAAACAAACTTCCATTCAAAACGGCCACACAGTTTTGGACTGTCAATATGACTAAGAATGAGAAAATGTGGATTTGCCCAAATCTCTAATGATGTAAATTTATTACAAAATGTAGACCATCGGTATCTTCAAATATGTAATTCCAAATTACAATTTCGATCACACTCTCCAGTTCTCGACCTATTGTATGGAAACCGGAAGTACCTTTGCCAAATATACCCATGGCTGGTGCTGCCCTCTATGGCCAAGTACCATAGTTGCGCTATATAGCGAGAACTGTACTTACCAAAGTTAAAGTATGATAAGCCCAATCCAAGGGCAATGAAGAATAGGTGCTGGATATTAGATGGGGCATGGTGGAGAAGGTTTCTGGGTATGAAGGCAAGTAGGTAACCTGGAATGAAAAGAACAAATCAAATTGAATAAAATGATGAAATTTAATTATGTTACAACTAGTAAATAAAACTCAATCATACAATTCAATTCATGTACATGTAAATCATTCAGGGTCTATTTTGGCCATTTTGAATAATATTCATTGGCGCTATAGTGTACCTTCACACCGTGCACCTAAAATGCGATTCTGATAAATAAAATCGAAGGAAAAAATCTATTTAATAGCAAACTCTGAACTTCAGAGGCAGGTTTCTACTGTTCTACATTTCAAAAAATAAAATGGAAGCTCTCATTACCAATCATGTGAAAGAATATGTTTTGAGTAATACATGATAACAATTTTGCCGGGAAACTGCCTACCAATTGATATATTTGGTAAATTAGTTGATCTATTGGTGTGTGAGAGATAAAAACGCACGTGTCGCGCACCTGTGCGTAGTCCCATATACATCTTTCTGTGTACAGTGCTTGTAACTTTATGAAGACTGGGCCAAATTTCTTATCATTTTGATGATTCCAGAACCTTGCAGTACATCTATGCTATAGATGATCAACCTTTTCTGATCGATTTCACAACGATTCTTTCACCATGCCATCGCATGCATTATGATGCATAACTGGGGCGGTATTCTGAACCCTGTGTTATCTCTGATATTGTTGTATCTTTGGAGATAAGATAAAGTTGGTATTCTGAACATTGTTGTAACTTTTGTTGTATCTTTTGTTGTATCTTTTCTCTCATCTCCAGGCCTCTCGCCAAGAAATTAAAAACGCGTGGCGCGACCCGAGGGAAAATTTGACCTCCCCCCCCCCCCCCCCCCAAAAAAAAAAAAAAAAAAAAAAGTAAAAAATTTGATTTTTTTTTTTTTTTTTTTTTTTTTTTTTTTTTTTTTTTAATTTAAATTTATTTTTTACAAGTATTACAAGTAATTTGATGAATTTTTAATACCATACCTGCCAACCCTTACGAATAATTCAGAATATTCTGTTTTTGGGGATTTCTAGGACCAGAAATTCCGGAATTTTCTGATTTTTCAACAAACAAAAAAAACAAAAAAAATGATTTTTTTTTTTTTTTTTTTTTTTTTTTTTTTTTTTTTTTTTTTTAAGAACGCGTGGCGCTAGGTCGGGCCCATCAGGAACGCGTGGCGCACGCGCCACGCGTTATCTGTGTACGCGAGAAAATGGCACTTATCCTCATTTGCATATGCGCACGAGAGATAATATGACAAGATAAATGGTAACCTGAAAATTGTTGTATCTTTTATCTTATCTTATCTTGCATGGTATTTACAACAATATTTACAACAGGTAGGGGGTTGTTGTATCTTTCGTGGTGATATAATGGCGGCAATATTTCTTGCCCAGAATTAACTTCGTGCCAATAGACGAGTTAGACCGGAAACATCACAGATGAGAACTTTCTAAGAAATTACATGCTAGGATATGATGATTTTAATGCTCAGCTCATCTAAGTGAAAGCGTGACCTGTCTTCATGATCCACGTGCCACAGCGCATTATGATGACACGTATAATAAGCGCTAAATTAACTAATTACGCCCGAGATTAGTATGCGCTGGGCGCATCTTCAGTATGGCATAAAGTACTCCTATTGGTTGACCTACTTATCATGCTTACATGTATATAAAATAGATCTTGATTGGTAGGGTCCATAAAAATGGGCGTGTACGTCAAAGACCGTCAAAGATAAGATAGAGGCGGTCCTTCAAGAGCTAGATCTAGGGATAAAATGATTTTCAGAATACCAACTTACAACAATATTAGCGCTGTGTTATCTCTGGGAGATACAACAAAAGATAACACAAAACTTACAACAATGTTCAGAATACCGCCCCTGGTCTCTATCTTTAACCACCAATTATTTAATTCTCGCTACCCCAAATAGCGATTCTGCCGAGATCCGGGGAAAATCCTGAAAACGCGCATTGCATTATGGGATAGCTTTTCGACATTACAGCTTCCTGTGCAGGCGTTCGTGATCACAACCCTCTCTTTCACGGTAGAGTTTAACGGCCTTTTGTGCTAAAGTCACTAATTCTGCCCGAAGCTTTCCATTGCATATTATAATCTGTACAAATTACACTGATTGGCATCGATTTTAGCGTGCGTGAAAACTCTGCACAGCGAACACAGGCGCTAGCGCCAGCGGGATGGGACTCTATACCGGAAGTTGTAGTGACGACCCGAGAGAGTGAAAATTACCTCGTCTCGCGAATTTCGAGATTTTCGTACCTATTTAGGGTAGCGAGAATTGATCATGTTGCTTGTTGACAATTGATTTTTGGATTTAGATCTAGACTTAAGATCTAGATCTAGATCTAAATTACTTTTACTTTACAGTCAGGCCGGTAGTCTTCAAATTTGATTATTAAGAATACACTAAAGACATTTGCATTCACTGAAACTAAACTAATGTTAAATGAAATGGTCGACACTTATGTCTTTCGAGAAAACACCTTATGCGCTTACGGCTCATGCAGTCTAGGTCTAGTCTCCCTGTTTGAGAAAGCCCACTCCCCTGCACCGTGAACTACATCGTGACCGCGCCAGGCCTGCCCCGCCCTCCAGGCCCGCGGGTGCGGTACATTGAGACAATGTTTGTTGTTGTCACTCTCATCTTTTGTTCCAACAGTACACTTTTCTTACCGATCAATACACTTATGAAAAAGCGCAGGGTTGAATCTGAAAATCCTAGTAGTTGCGCTGAAACATGAATGGTTTGGTGCACAAAGCCCAAATCACTGGATATTCCCTCTTCTTCCATGGTAGATGAACATAAATCCCCGCATAAATCCCCCGATCGTTCCAAGTCTGTAAGTCGAAATTACAGCATTCAGATCATGCGCCGCGCGCCCCAGTGGTGGTGCAGCATGCAGTGCATATATTGCACGCGTTGCACGGCATGTCAATATGAGAGCGACAATATAATATTCTCACGACATCCATAATCATCCAATGTATCATTTGTGAAGATGACAAGCGCGTAGCCAGGATTTCATTTTAGGGGGGGCGGTAATGAGCACGCGAAGCGTGCGAATCACTTAAAGAGCGCGAAGCGCGCTCCCTAGGGGGGTGGGTGCAGGGAGGGGGGAGTTTCCCCCCTCCCGCGCGAAGCGCGGAAGCTTTGAAAGAAGACGATTCGTTGTACCTTTCTCGACTCATAATCCTTGTCTGAATTCAGTCCCTCCCCTCTCTCGCGCGAAGCTTTGACGTTTCATTAAATTATTAGAGAAAGAAGACGATTCGTTGTACCTCTCTCGACTCTTAATCCTTATCTGTATTCAGTCCCTCCCCTCTCTCACGCGAAGCTTTGACGTTTCATTAAATTATTAGAGAAAGAAGACGATTCGTTGTACCTTTCTCGACTCTTAATCCTTGTCTGAATTCTGTTCCCCCACCCCCCCCCCCCCCCCTCTCTGAAGCTTTGACGTTTCATTAAATTATTAGAGAAAGAAGACGATTCGTTGTACCTCTCTCGACTCTTAATCCTTATCTGTATTCAGTCCCTCCCCTCTCTCACGCGAACAGTGGCGTACCTGGGGTACTCCGTCAGGGGGGGCAAGCGACCGAAACAAACAAAAAAGGCGATGCTAATTTTCACTTCTGGCGAGCGAGCGAGCGAGCAAAAAAAAATCTTTAAGTAACGTTTGGTATGTAAACTGGTATTGTTGCAAGTTGGGGTGGGAACATTCACTTGTTAGCGACGTTAATTTCATTTTTTTGCAAACGAGCGTAGCGAGCAAGAAAAAATCACTCTTTTTTTGATAATTGCCACTTAAACTTGGTTCAATTGTCCCATGCAGGGCGCGGGAACAATATTGTGTTTATGGTGATTTCAAACCCATTTTAGCTAGCGAGCCTAAATACATCTTTCTCTCAATGAATTGCTATATAAAATTTGTTTCATTGTTGCAGGTCGGGGGCGGGCACAATCGTGTTTAAGGCAATGTCAATCCCATTTTGGCGGGAAGGCAACCCCCTACATTTATCTTTTTAATGATATTGTAGCAGGTTAGTGGTGCGCACATAATTCCACGAGCTAGCGAAAAAAAATCACTTCTCGTTTATAGGGAAAATACGGTACATAAAACTTAGGTTCATTGTTCCATGTCAGGGACGTGATTATTAAAAGCGGTGTTATTTCTATTTTGGCGAGCGAGCGTAGCGAGCGAGCAAAAAAATCACTTCTCTTTTGTAGGGAAAATATGGTACATAAACTTGGGTTCATTGTTCCATGTCAGGGACGTGATTATTAAAAGCGGTGTTATTTCTATTTTGGCGAGCGAGCGTAGCGAGCGAGCAAAAAAAATCACTTCTCTTTTATAGGGAAAATATGGTACATAAACTTGGGTTCATTGTTCCATGTCAGGGACGTGATTATTAAAAGCGGTGTTATTTCTATTTTGGCGAGCGAGCAAAAAAATCACTTCTCTTTTATAGGGAAAATATGGTACATAAACTTGGGTTCATTGTTCCATGTCACGGACGTGATTATTAAAAGCGGTGTTATTTCTATTTTGGCGAGCGAGCGTAGCGAGCGAGCAAAATTTTTGTAATGATAATTGGTTCATAAATTTCAGATTTTTTTTGTTGCAGGGCAGGGCTTACACAATCATGTCTAAGCTTGATGTTAATTCCGTTTTGGCGAGCACGAGCACACCAAAACTTCTTTGAATAACGTTTGGTACATAATTATTAACTGGTTGTTGCAGGTTGGGGCGGGCACGTTAGCGGTGTCAATTCCATTTTGGCGAGCGAGCATAGCGAGCAAGCAAAAAAAAAATTCTCTTTTAATAGAAATTAATAAATAAACTAGTTTTTATTGGTGCAGGTCAGAATGGACGCAATCGCGTTTAGCGCGATTTAATTCCTTTTTGGCGAGAGGGCGTAAAAACTCTTCCATTTTTAATGATATTGTTGCAGGTCAAGGGTGGGCACAATTGTTTCCAAAGCAATATATATTCATTTTATTCGCGAGCAAGTGTAGCGAGCGAGAAAAATGAATTACTTTCTTTTAGTAACATTTGGTACATACACTGTGTGTTATTGTTGCCATGGTTGCAGGTCGGTGCCCGTCGGGGCAGGCACAATTGTATTCTAGGCAATGCTAATCCTTTTCTTTTTTTCAGGGGGACGGGCAAGTGAAAACATTTAATACAAAATAGGCTAGCAAGCAGTTCGCGCCAGCGAAGAGTTTCGAATTTGTTATATCACTTATATTTTCCTATTTTCATTTGTCTAAATTTTTCAGGGCCGTATGCGGAATATTTTTCTGGTGGGGGAGGGGGGAAAGATGCGTTAAAAGTTTTCGAAGAATCTCAAAAGCAAAAGGAGTGAAGGGAGTTCGAGCGACCGAACTGGTCATGAGGGTACTTTTGCATTTTCAAAAGTAGAATTGAAGGATTTGGTATAGGCCTACACTACATTTGCAGGAAAAAAACTGTACGTTTTCAAAATATCTGGGGTCAACTGCCCCTCCCCCCCCCCCTGGTGCGTACGGCCATGATCTTTTTTTTTTTTTAATTTCCCCATTTTTTTCCTTTCCTTTTCTTTTCCCTTTTTTTTTTCCTTTTCTCTTCTTCTCCCTTTTTTCTTTCCTTTTCCTTTTTTTCCTTTTTTTCTCTTTCTCTCCTTTTTTTCTTCCCTTTTCTTTTTCTTTTTTTCTTTCCTTTCCTTTTTTTTCTTTTCTTTCCCCTTTTTCTTTTTTTTCCCCTGGAGCCCGTCAGGGGGGGCACTCTGCCCCCCTGCCCCCCCATAGGTACGCCAGTGCACGCGAAGCTTTGACGTTTCATTAAATTATTAGAGAAAGAAGACGATTCGTTGTACCTTTCTCGACTCTTAATCCTTGTCTGAATTCTGTTCCCCCCCCCCCCTCTCGCCCGAGGCTTTGACGTTTCATTAAATTATTAGAGAAAGAAGACGATTTGTTGTACCTTTCCCGACTCATATTTCTTAATTTGAACTCAGTTTCCCCCTTCCCGCGCGAAGCGCGGAAGCTTTGACGATTCATTGTACCGTTCTCGACTCCTTTTCCCTTTTTCTTCCTACGTCCTCTTTCTTTTTTTCCTTCTCTTTCTCTCTCTTTTTTTTTTTGGCCGGCGTTTTGGGGGGGGGCGACCGCCCCCACCGCCCCCCCTGGCTACGCGCCTGGAAGATGAACAAACAATATTTATATTAAAGTAAACAAATAAATAGTCAAACAGTTAATAATAAAATGAAATAGAAAAAAAAAAGAAGATTGATATTTCGAATGAATAAATGAATTAATAAAGAATTTATAATAAATATTTAAAAATTAACTGAAGAAAAAAGATTATAAAATGAATATACTGTATTGATAAAACAACTATTTCTATATAACATTCAAATCAAGGGGCACAATAGAATCATCATAATTTGCTGTTATGGGGTAAACTTTACTAATTATATATATTGGTTAAAAATAAAGTGCTTCGAATGCGAAAAAGGGGGTTTAAAACGAAGCATCATTTTCCTACAGAATTTCATCAATTTCATACAATCAAAGAGTTTATTATTTTCAAATTAGTTATTGGGTTATAAGCGCCAAACGCTTAGGTTTGTTTGCGCTCAAATAAGACCTTTTTAATGTCGGCTGTTAGAATTCTGCACCCCGTATTCCATGAGGTATGTAATAAGCTACATTAATTTCATGTGAGTTTCAGCACATTTAAAAGAAATGGGAAATTAGCAACGAATGTATTAACCCCCACCCACTTTTATATACTCTAGACCAGGGGCGTACGCAGGATTTTTTCAAGGGGGGGGGGGGGGTTTTGCTCCCGAAAATTTGAAAATCGCGCCGGCCGAAAAGTCGCTCAGTGGGGGGGGGGGGTAAGCGGACACTTTTTTTTTTTTTTTTGGGAGTCCAAAAAAAATCGCAACGACTCAGCCAGCCGAAAAGTCGCTCAGTGGGGGGGGGGGGGGGGGGGGGGGGGGGGGGTCCCGAAATTTCAAAATTTGACATTTTTCTTCGTTGGGGGGGGGGGGGGTAAGGTCACCTTTTTTAGGTTAACCGTGGGTATAATTTTTTTTTTTTTTTTTTTTTTTTTTTTGGGAGTCCAAAAAAAATCGCAACGACTCAGCCAGCCGAAAAGTCGCTCAGTGGGGGGGGGGGGGGGGGGGGGGGGGGGGGGGGGGGGGGGGGGGGGGTGGGGGGGGGGGGGGGTAAGCGGACACTTTTTTTTTTGGGTCCCGAAATTTCAAAATTTGACATTTTTCTTCGTTGGGGGGGGGTGGTAAGGTCACCTTTTTAGGTTAACCGTGGGTATAATTTTTTTTTTTTTTTTTTTAATAATTAAAAAAAAAAAAAAAAAAAAAAAAAAAATCCCAAAGGGGGGGGGGGGGGGGGTTTTGAACCCCAAACCCCCCCCCCCCTGCGTACGCCCCTGCTCTAGACGTTATATGCGCCTAACGTTAAGGTTTGTTCTGGACATTGGTTGATATGCACTCAAATAAGACCTTTTTAATGTCGGCTGCTAGAATTTTTGCACCCCGTATTCAATGAGGTATAAAATAATCTACATTTCATGTGAGTTTCAGCACATTTAAAGCAAATGGGAAATTAGTAACGAATGTATTAACCCCTACCCCTTTTATATACTCTAGACGTTATAAGCGCCAAACGTTTAGGTTTATTCTGGACATTGGTTGATATGCGCTCAAATGAGACCTTTTTAATGCCGGCTGCTAGAAATTTTGCACCCCGTATTCCATTAGGTATATAATAATCTACATTTCATGTGATTTTCAGCGCAATTAAGACATGCAGCAACATTTTTAATACAAAATAAAAAGTGTTATGTCATATAGAAATGTATGTATCATATTCAACATTTCCCTTGCCTAGTTTGCACCTCCCCATATAGGAAAGAAATGCAGATCTGCAGCAGACCTGCCGCAGACAGTCATCTTTTTCACATGCAAATTAGTTTTGCCGCAGACTTGCCGCAGACTAGCCGCATACTCTTTCAGTATGATCAGAGTCTGCGGCAGGTCTGCCGCAGACTTGCTGCAGACTTGCCGCATACTCTTTCAGTATGATGAAGAGTCTGCTGCAGACCTGCCGCAGACTCTTCATCATGAATATTCATATCTCATATTGACCTGCTGCAGACCTGCCGCATACTCTTTCATATCCAGTACGTGGCAATAAAGTATGCATGTAGAAGAACCAGTGATAAACTGATTGATACTTCATAATCGATATTGGCAATATCGATATTACCAATTAGGTAATACCAATATATATCGATATTACCAATTAGGTATATTCTATTCTCAATTGTATTAACTTCGTCACATAGATCATTTGAAGTTTATTCAAGAGTAACATTTAAAGTGACATAGGCTCGTACACATATATATATATACTAAATATGTATATTGTTTCTTGGTTAGTAATCATATAATCAGGGGCGTACGCAGGATTTTTTCAAGGGGGGGGGGGGTTTAAATATTTTGCTCCCGAAAATTTGAAAATTGGCCTGAAGTCCAACTTCAGGCCAATTGAGGTCCCATTGGCCTGAAGTTGGACTTCAATTGGTCCAATTGAAACCAATTGAAAACCTTTTAAAGTCTAATGGGGCAGATTGGTCCAATTGAAATCCCATGAAAGTCTAATAGGGCCAATTGAAACCAATACATAATCATCTCATGCATATTCATTACTTTACACGTGTGACAGAAAAATACATTTATCATGATTTGTTAAGCAAATTAAGACAATGCACATCATTGGCCTATATGCCCTATTAGACTTTAAAAGTCTAATAGGGCATATAGGCCAATGGGGCCAATGGGCCCAATTGGTCCAATAGGGACAATCTTGACCAATTGAAACCATCTGAAGTCCCATTAAAGTCCCATTGAAACCTGTTAAAACCTATTGAGACCAATTGAAACCAATTGAAAATTCAATTGGTGTTCAATTGGTTTCAATTGGATTTTCGTCTTGGGATATAGTTACAACAAAAAAGTGAGTTAGTGGGGCTGAAGATAAGATCACATATGGCACAACAAAAAAGTTTGAAACAGTCCATTAATTCCTCAGTCTCCTCTTATGTAATAAATTCCTCTTATGGTACCAGTTGAACTTGAAGCAAAATGTTTGGTTTGACAGAAGCTAAAAAGACAATTAACAGTGCCAATTAACACAGGAATTTGCCTATAGCCTAATTGCTCCAGACTGTATAATTTCCCACTTTTCTGTGGCAGACCTGCCGCAGACTGTTCCTGTGGCGTACTGGTATGCGGCAAGTCTGCAGCAAAGTTTCGCCCTGCCGCAGATCTGCCGCAGACTGTTCCTGTGGCATACTAGTATGCGGCAAGTCTGGAGCAAAGTTTCATCCTGCCGCAGATCTGCCGCAGACTGTTCCTGTGGCATACTAGTATGCGGCAAGTCTGGAGCAAAGTTTCATCCTGCCGAAGATCTGCCGCAGACTGTTCCTGTGGCATACTGGTATGCGGCAAGTCTGCAGCAAAATTTCTTTATGCCGCATACTTCGGCATACTCTTTGCCGCAGACTAAAAGTCTGCGGCAGGTCTGCGGCATACTTTACACTTTCCTATGGGTCACTCTCCTTTTCCCTCTCCATGCATGCCCCAAGACGAAAATCCAATTGAAACCAATTGAATTTTCAATTGGTTTTAATTGGTTCCAATTGGTTCCAATTGGTTTCAATTGGTCTCAATAGGTTTTAACAGGTTTCAATGGGACTTTAATAGGACTTCAGATGGTTTCAATTGGTCCAGATTGTCCCTATTGGACCAATTGGACCCAGTGGCCCCATTGGCCTAGGCCCCATTAGACTTTAATGGGACCCCAATTGGTTTCAATTGGACCAATTGGCCTTAAGTTGGACTTCAATTGGTCCAATTGAAACCAATTGAAAACCTTTTAAAGTCTAATTAATAATGGGGCAGATAATTGGTCCAATTGAAATCCCATTAAAGTCTAATAGGGCCAATTGAAACCAATAGAAACCAATAGGACCAATAGAAACCAACAGATCTATGCATCTCATGCATATTCATTATTAGTTTACAGTGTCACAGAAAAATACATTTATCATGATTTGTTAAGCAAATTAAAGACAATGCACATCATTTTTGTGATTTCTATTTTCCTTCGGCAATTATTAACCAATAGAAATGTTACAATTACATTCACGTTTTAACAATAGATATATTGATTATATGATTACTGACCAAGAAACAATATACATCTTTAGTATTTATATATGTGTATGAGCCTGTGTCACTTTAAATTTTTACTCTTTAATACACTTCAAATGATCTATGTGATGGAGTCAATACAATTGAGAATAGAATATACCTAATTGGTGGAGTTGCCAACATCGATTATGAAGTATCAGTTCATCACTGGTTCTTCTACCTGGATCGATTTACCAATTGAATCCCCATTAAAATAAATGCCCCCATTGATACCCAAATGAATACCAATTGGCAATTTGGAGTACATGGAAAGTGAAACAATAGGTTCCTATTGAAACCAATTGGCAATTAGTCACCATTAAAACAAATTGCCAGTTGGTTTCAATGGGTACCTATTGTTTCACTTTCCATGTACTCCAAATTGCCAATTGGTATTCAATTGGGATTCAATGGGGACATGCAATGGGGATTCATTTAGATTTTCGTCTTGAGTGCTGTCATTATAAAACATCTTCTTCTCTATAGATCTCCCTTTTATTTCCTCTGGCTTTATCATTTGTATACTACTTTTGCTATAATATTCCCTATGCCCTCACCCTGCCCCTCCCCCACTGCGGGAACGGAGGGACCGCATGCATCTTCCAAAAATCTCAGGCTCGTAACAAAGAAAAAGATCTGCCCATATTGACTTTACACACCGGACTTATGCTGAAAAGGGGGGTGCTGAAAAGGCTCGTGTAACAAAAGAAAAAGATCTTTCCGTATTGACTTTACACACCGGACTTATGCTGAAAAGGGGAGGGGGTGCTGGGAACACGCATATGCGTACCCTAAATAACACTGAGTCGGGGGACCGGGGCCCCCACTCCCCTCTCTCTCTGTTTCTCCCTCCCTCCCTCCCTCTCTTTTACCCTCTTTCACAGTATTGGAAACGCCCCAATTTCAAAAAATGAAATGGAAGCTCTTATTACCAATCATGTGAAAGAGTATGTTTTGACCAATACATGATGATAACAATTTTGCCGGGAAACCGCCTACTAATTCATATATTTGGTAAATTAGTTTATCTATAGGTGTGTGAGAGATAAACGCACGTGTCGCGCACGTGTGCGTAGTCCCATATACATCTTTCTGTGTGCAGTGCTTGTAACTTTACGAAGACTGGGCCAAATTTCTTATCATTTTGATGATTCCAGAACCTTGCAATACACACCAATACTTATATGCTTGATGGTCAACCTTTTCTGATCGATTCCACAACGTTTCTTTCACAATGCAATCGCATGACCATAACTGGTCTTTATCTTTAAAGGTAATACAAAGTTTTGGGAAATTTTGAAAATTGGGTGGATAGTGAATCTTTACAATTTTGATATATTTGGATGCCCCTGTGGATGTATTATAAGCACTAAAAAAATTAGCCCCTAAAACACTTCTGTTTTCGAGAAAAATTGAAATATAAAAATTTACCGGTGCTCCCGGTAAATTTTGATAAATTTTGATAAAATTTGATAAATAGCGCCTATGGCGCTATGGTACAATAGTAGCTGCGACCATGAAAATCTCAGAATATGTAGTTGGGATATATAATTTCCAAACAGGAATAGCTAATCGGTCGATTTTAGTCAAGAAACATCGTTTCATAGCTAAATTAATATCTTGACCTTGAGAGGGAGCTATACAACATTAAGAGTTTATTATTTATAATTTCATAACTTTAGACTCGATTTCAACCGCGACAACGATCAATGTATATTGTAGGAACGCATATGCTTCCAATATGTTAATTTGAACCAAATTCATGACCCCATACCAAAACTTTGTATTACCTTTAAACACCTCGTACTCAAAGTATATCACAACAACACTAAACAAAAGAACATTTTACCTACTTATATCATAGATTTATTTCTCTTTAAATCATAACCTACACCATTTGTCGTTACACAAAACACAAATACTAAAACTGGACATGATTTTCACATAAGCCATTAAAATAATCAAGTTATCATAATCTAATTTTTTTTCTTATTTACATCATAATACATTCAATTCATTATTTGCACAATCAAACATCTTCTTGTTTCTGTACACAAACATTCTTATCAAGGCTCCTGCGCTTGCAGTACCATAGTCAACACTGTCAAGGAACTCTACAGCCAAAGGGAAACCAACAAAACAATCTATATTTTCATGATAATAGTCACTAAAAACAAATAAAGAACAAAGACGTTGTCCACCTATTTGTCAGCTTTTTCGCATTTCAATGTTTTGTAAAGGTCTGAAAGTAAGCTGAACAAACACAATGTGACTGTAGTAACAATTCAAGATCAAGACCTTGATCGACAATTGATGGTGAAATTGGTGATTCTTAACCTGTTGACTTCTGAATTGTTTGATTGCACAGGCTCAATATAGGAGCCACCTCATTCCAAGAATCAATGGGTTGATTTGTAATCCGATTTATGAGACAGGTATTATATGATTTTAATTTAGCCTATATAATTAGTGTGTTGTAGTAATAGATACTACTGTAGCTGTAGATCCTAATGACACTGGATATATTTTGTTTCAGCAATTAACCGACCTTCATGCATTCCCAATGTAGCTTTTCATACCACAGCTATCAGCATGCTTCTACAGGAAACCCTGGAAAATAACCCAGAATAGACCCAGAAAGTAGACGTTCACAAAATGCAACCTGTTTGTTCCTACATACGATAAGCATATTAAACTGTTTCTTCGCGCAGTTAACAGACTTTACCAGGTACGCTAGATGTCAGGGAAAGTGGGCGCTGTGTGCACTATGCAATAATGCATTGGTTTATGATGCATTGTGTCGCATGACCTTAAATTCGAATGCTATAAAGAATGGAAGAGTTTCTACAGAACTGACAAAGTGAGCATACCCAGAAAAATTCACCACTCTAGACAGGCTCGTCATTCCCTTAGTTTTTGTGTTTCAATCGGTTTATGGTGCGTTTTCTACAGAAGCACATATATAGAAAAACCTGGAAAGTAACAGAAAGTAGCAGAAAGTAACAGTATTTTGAAATTCTGTACAAACATGCCGATTTTGGACGTAAATCAAGGCCAGCGATCAGAGTATATCTGTGTAAAGACATGATTCTGAGATGCTTAGGAAATACGATTGATAATCCAGCTTAATCGGTAATTAGAATTTGATTCATGATTTATGTTTTCTGAGCATGATTGATGTGTTGACGATTCATAAAGATTTTGTACAACTTAAACACTTGGGAGTGAAATAGAATTATTAATCTTCCTTCATATCAGAGAGTGTTGATTGCTTTGCCAGTGCGGAGGAGATTGAGCGCGTGCATGAGCGGGTATACACGGGTGCCGGATCTAGTGTTGGAGTGCTTCAATGCATTAGTAACCAAGTCTATTATCTACAAACTATAGTCCTGTTCAGGACTCATAACCATTACAGCTTTTCTTCTTCACATTCTCCTTTCTTTATCATTCAATGATGTCGACGGTACATGAAAAGATGACAATCTTTAGTTATTCCATTCAATCTCTCATAAATATTCCAGTATTTATCAGATTACATGTATTTTCTCTCTTCCATGCTTTTATATACAATATTCCCTTCCCAAGCTTGCTAAAGTAGAAAAAAGAGTGATTACATGATTACAGCCATCAGTATTTAAAGAAGTCACGTAGAGAAGCATCATATTTTCAATAAAAAAAATGCACATAATTATGAAAAAATGTCTGGATTAACTGGCTATTGGTTATAGAATTTCCCGACATATCATTTACATATATTTACATCAGAAGTCATCAAAACTGATCAACACATTGTCTGAAAAGCATGATTTGTGAACTTAAGTCAAATTATAGAACTAAGTAAGAATATACACAGGCACCTTTTTTATTGGTGTGGTTTGACTTTGTTTCAATAGACTTTGATTAAATCTGTACAATACACATTTACAAAGAATTATATTACTTTTCATTTACAAATAGTTTAGTTTAAGGTTATATGCTGGAAACTTCTAAGCCGGAGTGCTACATTAAGCCTGGGGGGCATTTCACAAAGCCTTTTTTCAATGATAAAAATCAGTGACGAATCTGCTGATAACCAATCAGAACAAGGATTTCAGTAGCTTATAACAAAAACTGTCATTTGTCACTGATGACAAGTTTTGTGAAACGCCCCTGCGGCGTTGAGGCAAGAGTGATGCCTCCCCTTACCCCCACAACGACCCATCAGATCTGATCAGGAAATCAGATTATATTTCAACCATTGCAATTCCTGTTTGCCCTCTCATATTTGTATGTACCACATGTATAAAACCATGTGTTCCATTCATTTTCTCTCACTGTTCGACTCTCATTTACTTCCCGCTGTGTGTGGGATAGTCAGTGTAATATCTTACGCCCAAAATATGAGACATTCACGATTGACATGCTATGCAGCTTCTCATAGAACTTCAAGATATCTCAAAGTAGAGAGCAAGGGATTCAAACAAACTTAGAATCAAAGATACAAATCTGCTTTTGGACATAGCCCAGGGGGGGGGGGGGCGTTTCACAAAACTAGTCATCAGTGACGAATGACAGTTTTTGTTATAAGCTACTGAAATCCTTGCTTCTGATTGGTCATCAGCAGATTTGTCACTGATTTTTGTCATTTGTTATTGAAAAAAGGCTTTGTGAAACGGGTCCCAGATGATTCAAGTATGATCCCAAGGCAATTTTCTAGATTAATCCTAAAACAAGACAATTAACAAATTTTTACACGGACACACCACAAAAGCATATTGTAAAATTCCTCATCCTATTTCTTCCTAAAAAATAGATGATTCTCAAGCTCCTTTACACCAAGTGAAAAGTCTAGGTACACATCTTCATGAATCACAATCACATATATATTAATTCTATACAGATACAGAATTATTTCAGTATCATTTCATACATTGAAAAGTGCAGTCTGCAGATGTACCTCATAAGATGAACACGAAGGCAGGCATGACCAGTATACAACATGTATATTACAGGAAAGGGCACAGAATCTCTGACCTTGCAATATATCTATATCCAGTTTCTAAAGGAATCAACGACTGGAAAGCATGCCCATTATATGGTTTTACAGACGATACACTTTCAAAAGTTTTTAACAACATGTACATTTCCTAATAATTGGCATTCCCGCAATGCAGTTGCCTCTGAAAGTATAACATGGTTTTCTGCACGATTCTTGCTGGCAATGGACATGTTTTGTGCTTGATCTTGGCAAAGAAGGCAGCTTAGATATGGGGTGGTCTATCTGATAGCATTTGCCTCTGCATCTGCTCCCTATGGAGCTGTTCAGCCACTGGGTCCCCTATGATACCATGGGGCGGGGCAAACATGCGAGGGTGGGGTACGGCACCAGGTGGAGGAGGCACAGGGCTCACCATTGCATGTGGGGGAAGAGGGACTGGGGGTGGTCCAAAGGGGATGTGAGGGGGTACAATGTTAGGGTCCCCTGAGGGAGGGATGTAGGTATGGTGGATGTGTTCTTGAGGATGGAAATGTAGGTGTGTGTGGGAATGCGAGTGGGAATGATGGTGAGGGGTAGGGATTCGGCTGGTAGGGGTGGAGACACCAGGATTTACCCTTGGGTCACATCTAGGGTCACATCTAGGGTCAATAGCATGCTCTGAGCATGGGCTGACTCTGGGATCTACTCTGGGATCTATTCTTGGATCAACCCTTGGATCTATCCTGGGATCCAGACGAGGGTCAATCCTGGGGTCAACTATCATAGCCATTCGCTCTGAATGCAAACGCTCCGTATTCAGGCGCTCTGCATTAGCCAAATGTTCCCCGCTTTGAGGTGGGCCCATCATATGTCTGTCCCTATCAACTGCCTGTAGGTATGCTGCAGCTACAGGATGCATGACAGGGTGGGGAGGTTCAGCGGAGTGAACGGAGCGAGCCTCACGCTCACGGGCTTCCCTAGCTTCTCTCTCACGAGCCTCACGTGCTGCCTGTGCTTCCCTTGCAGCCTGAGCCTCCCGGGCAGCCTTAGCTTCTCTTGCTTTCTGGGCCTCTCTTGCAGCTTGGGCTTCCCTGGCTGCTTGGGCTTCACGGGCAGCCTGTGCCTCTCTAGCAGCCTGTGCTTCCCTAGCTGCCTGAGCTTCGCGTGCAGCCTGGGCTTCCCTGTTAGCTTGTGCTTCCCTGTTCGCTTGTGCTTCACGAGCAGCATGCGCTTCTCGTGTAGCCTGCGCTTCACGTTGAGCTTGCACTTCCCTTGCTGCCTGTACTTCCCTTGCAACTTGCACTTCTCTAGCGGCCTGTACTTCTCTTGCGACTACAGCCTCCCTCACTGCCTGAGCCTCTCTCACTGCATGAACGTCTCTGGTTGCTTGAACAAGAGCTGCCTGAGCATGAGCAGCTTGTGCTTGTGCCTCTCTGGCAGCTTGGACGTGGGCAGCCTGGACATGAGCCGACTGTGCCTCCCTAGCCGCCTGCACGTGAGCAGCCTGAGCATGAGTGGCCTGGGCATGGGCAACCTGCGCTGCATGAGCCGCCTGAGCAGCATGGGCCTGCTGCACAGCTGATGCATGAGCAGCCTGGGCTTCCTGTGCCATGAAAGCATTCATAGGTACCCCATCCTGCCGCATCCCGTACATCTGTTCATAACCCATCTTCTGTCGCATCTCCATCTCCCTCATCTCCCTCATCTCCATCTCTCGCATCCCCTGGTACTCCCTCTCTCTCAGCTCCTGTATCTCCCTCTCACGAAGTTCCCTTTCCCTCATCTCCCGTTCAACCAAGTCGATCTGTGCATCTCTGTTTCCCATCACGTAGGCAGACTCCAGCTGGTACCGCAGGATGGGGTCAGGTCCGATCAAGTTCGGCAGCATGCCAGGAGGCAGGTTGTTGTTGTTGGAGTGCGGTCTAGCATATTCACTGAGTGTGCGCAGGGCTGGTGTCTCAGGACCAGGGTATTGCCCCTGCCTAGATCCTGGTGGCGCAGGATACCCTGGGGTGCTTGGTGCTGGAGTAGAAGTGAAAGAACTTATCACCTGGGCATCTGCACTGGTATTCTCTGGTGGGGTTTCAGGTCGTCTCTGTAAAAACATAATGAAAGAAAACAAATTTAATATCTTGGCAACATACACTCAATAACATCAGAATTGATTTTCTATTTGAATTTGACTCAAGCTTCAATGAAAGAAAAAATGTTTCAATAGTTTCTAAAGACTTTATCATAAGTGATACATAATAAATTATGTTAGTCAAATCCAAACATTCATGTAAAAATAAATCTACATATCCATGTAGAATTCATCTAAGTACATCTTCTTTAACCTGTGGATATCATTAGCCCAGCTTTAGATAAAGCAGACATCCATGTACATGAATAGGCTGTCATTATCTTCCTACTATATATTTGCTTCATTGGAGATTGAAGCCCCACCGCACTACTTATAGCTACTTGCGCCCTCTATATAGCAAAGAATGCCTAATCGGTGACCATTGGTCCCCCATGGCCCCCTTCTTCTTATGTTAATTGAGAGCTGATTTGATGAGATAACCACCTGTCAATGACCATGCAGGGAGGTCTAATCCCTCCTGGCCAAACTAGTGCAGAGGGGCTTTAAAGGGCTTGTTTCTTACTCCATTATTCTACTAAAAATACCAGCAGTGGAAGGCTTTCATGTTTTCAAAATTACTGAGCAGTACTTACAGCTACTCTATCATTTGCTTCAGCACTCTTTTCATCCCGGCTGGTCGAAGAGCTCCTCTCCCTGTCTGCCTCGTGGCTGATACTAGAACGCTTCTTACGTTCACGGTCCCTGCATCGACGCATCCATTTGGAATCTTCTCGGGGTGAGAACAGGAGATCAGTTCGACTGCATGAGTTGTTCCTTCGGGACCAGTGGCGTATGAATCTGTTTGGAAAGAATGAATAAGAAGGCATTGAAATATGAATCACTGAAATAACTTTGTAGAGGAGTTTGCATAATCTAGGATAGTACTTGTGCCACTTCACTTCAACATTCATTTGCAAAGTTGGTTGAAACGCAAAATGTAGTTGCACATTATATCACTGATAATGAATCTGGCTACATCTTTTTTGCAAGATAATTTTGTTATGTCAGATTCAGCAGTTTTCATAAGATATGGCTCACACATGATAAAAGTATCTTCAAATGTTAGGTTGTACACCTTTGTTGAAATGAGATTTTAATGTTTTGCAACATTTACTAAGCTGCAAATCATATTAACATAAACAGGATTTCCAGTGACGAAAGTCTTTGAATGAATTTGTCTTGATACAAACAGTGTTTCATTAAAATTTATAAATATATTTAGAAAATAAATAAAAATACAAAATGTGTTCATACTTGGCAGAGGAACTTGTGTGAAGTAGTCTATCCACCATCATAGGCTCAGGAGATGGAGAGCGATTACCAAGATCCTCATATTCTTCCTCTTCTTCTTCTTCCTCTTCCTCTGTCTTTTCTCCATCTTTCTTCTCGCTATCAGGCTCCTTCATCTCTTCTTTAATTTCTCGAGGTTTCTGTGCCTCTTCATCGATGCCAGTCTCTGTTTTGACTTTCACTGCACCATCGGGGAACCTCAGAGTTGGATGCAGCATGGGTGGGACAAGAGGAGCAGATGGTGATCCTCCAGGGGCAAGTCTGTTTTCGGTGATGACAGATGTCTGCTGCATACGCTTCGGGTCACCCATGATGCTCCTATGCGCAGCCTCAAATTCAGCCTTCACCTTGGAGATATCGAACGAGCCCTTGTCACCAGCAGCAGCTGATGTAGCGGGTTGGGAGGGTGGGAGGGGCTGGTTGGGTGGGAGGGGCTGGTTGAGTGGGAGGGGCTGGTTGGGGGGCGGGTAAGGAGGTACACCTTTTGCAGCGTCAGGATGACCTGGTCGGTGCTCAAAGGGGGGATACTGAGGGTAGCTATAGGTTGGCATCTCTTGCTTGATACGCATATTACCCACCATGATTGGCTCTTGAGAAGGAAGGGATTGTGGAGGATATGCCCCTGGCCGTTGGTCTGGTAGCATCTTGCTTGATTTCCCTTCTGCCTCTCGGTGAGGAGAGTTCGGCCTTCCTCTATCTTTCTCCAAAGGACTTTCCCTGGGTTTGGGCACACTCTCTTGTTCCTTGTCACGACCATCATGATCTCGTCTCAATGGGGGCGTTAGATTCTCCCCTGGTTTGGGAGGACGTTCCTTTCCATAAGGCATGTAAGCAGACTCGCCCCTTGGGTACATCTGAGGCATTCCAACACCATGATGTGGGAAACTTGGTAATCCTTCTCTGTAGACCAAAGGTGGAGGATCCAGTCTTCCCCTGCTACGTTCCATGTCCCTCTCCTTCTCCCTATCTTGGCTTGGACGATCTCTGTCGGATTCAGACTCATTCCTGCTGCTCCTCTCCGAACCCTTTCCATCAACAGAGCGTGGACGATCGTGATCCCTGCTAGGACGATAAGCTTCACTTCTTTCCAGATCTTCTGGCCTTCTCCCTTCCTCAGACTGCCTCCAAGCTGCTGAAGCCTCTCTTATGAGAGACTGTCGATCTGGATTCTCGTTTCTTTGGTCCCTGTTCTGGTAATGAGCCTGCAATTCCTTGATGTGAGGCATGGACATACCAGGAATGAGAGGCATACCTGGCATACCTATCATCCCCGGCATGGGCGTGGCACTGGGGAAACCAATAGGGTACATGGGAGGAGGCGGGGCAAGAGGTGTGTCCTTTCTGTCGGTGGGAGTGCTCCTTGCCTTCTCCTCCTCCGGTTCTCGCTTCGGAGAGGGATCCTTCGCTTCCAGCTCCGTGCGGATCATGTGGTCCACAAAACTTGTCTCAAAGCTCCTCTCCCTCCTAGCTTCTTTGTCTCCAGTCTCTCCACCTCGCCTAACCTGAGCCATGGCCAATGGGGAGAAGAGACCTGCTGTGGATGTGAAGGGTGGCAGCACCACAGCTGGTCCATGAGGGGTGCTAGCGGTAGACACCTGGTGCACCCCTCCATGGGGTGAAGATTGTGCCTCGCCCTTCTTCTCTCCTGGAGGTAGAATAACGGGCATGATGGGGGTTGGGAGGGTGAACCTCTGAGGTACGGGTGAGGGAACAGCTGCTGGCATGACAGGTTCTGGGGCTGGCTCTTCTTCTACAGGCTCTTTCTTGATCACAAGCATCTTTTTGACTTCAGCAGCCTCAACCACAGGGGGCTGAGGCTGCATTTCCTTCTCCAGATCTTTTTGCTGGCTAGCATCTAGGCATGTTGGTGGTCCTTCAAATGGTTCATCATTCTGCATTAAAAATATAACACAATAGCATACAATATAATCATTGTAAGTAACTGAAATATTTCAAAAACAAGCTGGAATTTGATGAGAAATCATTTAGTGATGATCGTGTAGACAGTCTTGGTTGGTGCAAGTTCTTACACACGCATGAATAAACCACCATTCATTATGATTTTTTATTGCAATGATACAATATCATTTTTGTCAAATTGCTTTTATGCACCTTTAATTAGTTCTTTTACACATCCATAGCATATATTTTAGGTCAGTTTTATAAGTAATGCTATTTAGCTCATTTGACATGTTAACCGGTTATCTTTCTCAGTCATTTTATATGTACATTCTATATCATATCTCATACAAATAAACAAGTTCAAAGGAATTCATCTTTTTCAATCTTCCTCCCTTACCTGAACATCTGCTTCCACATCTTGAATGTTCATCCGAATCTCCATCTTCTCCTCCTCCTCCTCCTCTTCTTCTTCCTCCTCTTCATCTTCTCCATCTCCCTCTTCCTCCTCCTCCTCTTCTTCTTCCTCCTCCTCCTCTTCATCCTCTGGTTCTACCCCCTGCTCTAGCAAGTCTTCCATTTCCTCCATCTCCTCTTCTTCTGGGTCTTCTTGCTTAATCCTTGGTGGCAGGCTGGCTGGGCTGTCCGGACCTTGGTCACTCTCCACCTGGAATTCCACACATCAAAATAATAAGTTGATTTGATTTGATTTGATTTATTTATTTCTGTATGATTTTCTTTTCTTTTGCAGTTTTACAAATATATAACAAACAAAACATTGCAAATTTGACACATTTCAAAAGACTATATGCAGAATAAAGTAAAACAGGAGCGTTGACAAAAGCTCGATAGCATGACTACCTTCATGATGGTAATAATAACAAAGACTATTTGTAAAGCGCCATATCCATTTCGCAGGAATTCTCAAGGCGCTGAGAGTATACATGAAGGAAAAGGATAAACTATATTAAATGTACACTGCAATGCAGAGCATGAGCAATACAATACAGATTACATCAAAAGATTAAGTTGAATAAGATGTGGAAATGTGGAAATAGTTGATTAATCAAAAGCGGTTTTGAACAGGTCAGTTTTAAGAGAAGACTTGAATGAGTTTACAGTTGCTATTTCCTCAAGAGGCTGTATACTTTCTATACTATATTTTCTGTAATCACTACTGTGCTCCTCGGGAGTAGCATTTCCTATTTGGATTTGTTAAATTGGGCATACAATATCTTCTTTAAAAACAAACTTCATAATACCTGTTTTAAAAAAACCTAATCCTGACCCTAGACATAGAGCAACTCTTTAAACTTCTTGGCAAGGATTGCCATTAAAAGCACATGATGATCATGATAGTTATTTTTTTGTATACTCTTAACCAGTATTCCCCAGAAAAACACCTTCATTTTTGTCTTTGTTGCTGTTGTTGCTTTTTCTCTTCTTCAGATGTACAAAACCACGTGTTGCCCTCTTGTACAGTCCTGTTTTCAACCATCGTTATACAGATGATCTACGTGTTATCACCTCGATCTTCTTACAGTTGGTGAATGAACAGAAGACGTGAATGAGTTTACGATTGCTATTTCCTTAAAAGGCTGTATACTTGTTATACTATACTTTCTGTAATCCCCCCTTTTCAACCATCGTTATACAGATAATCTACGTACATGTACTATACTTTCTTTAATCCCCGTTTTCAACCATCGTTATACAGATGATCTACGCGTTATTACTTTGATCTCCTTAGAGATTTCCTTTATATACTATACTTTCTGTAATCCCCCGTTTTCAAGTATCATTATTCAGATGATCTACGTGATATTACCTTGATCTTCTTAGAGTTGTTGCTGCCCTCACTAGAGGTGCTCAGCTCACTGGGTGAGTTATGGCTGAAGGTACCGCTACCTCTCCTGTGATTGAGAGGACTGCTGGGTTCACTGGCTACACCATCCAGGTGCTTGTTACGCCCAGCACGGGATGAGCTGTTCACCTATATAGTTAGAAGAGATGATGATTCATGATTAGAATTGAGGATGAAATTAGCATCTCTAATATTCATGTAAAAAACTAGATGGAACTTTGACTGTGTGCAGTCGAAAATGATGCCTCCGCCATAGAGCAGTTTTCATATACATGTATGACCTTTTGATCTTTGACATCATGGCCTTAAAATCTAATCAGTTCATTGGCTCTGCAAGATACATACATGATGTAAGTTTGGCTGGAATCCATCAATCGGTTCTTGAGATAACTTGATCCCTGTCAAAGTCCACTTGGCTTAACATACAACGTACCAGTTCTGTATGTCTCCTGGTGCATGATTTCTTCATGACATCTAAGGACTCTATTATTATCTTGACTCCTTTAAAATTTCAAGTCACTTATGGGTTCCTAGCCAACACCCTAAAGCCTGATAACTCAGGAAGACCTTATCAATCCCTGTCAAAGTCCACCACATCTGGGGAGTGTTTCACAAAGACTAAGATCAACTTTAAGTTGAACTTTACTATGGCAGGCCTTTCATGCCACTAGTTCCTCTAACGTACAATTTGTGGTCACAAATCTACAGAATTTACCTGATTTGATAGTTCACTATTGAAGGCAAAAATAATATCTAAAGATCATAATTGAGAGACCTATGGTGACAGCAACTAGTGGCATACATGGCCTGCCATATTTAAGTCCAACTTAATGTCGATCTTAGTCTTTGTGAAACACCCCCCCCCCCCTGAACATACAACGTACCAGTTCCCTGTGTCTCCTAGTGCGTAGATTCTTCTTGACGTCAAAGGACTCTCCTTCCCTGACAGGCTTGAACATGAAGGCAGGTGGAGCACCAGGGTTCTGGATTGGTCGTAGGATACCATACTTCTTGAAGTACACTCTACAATCTGTACACAGCAGAACTCTGTCTCTTCCACCATGGTGCCAATCCTTAGAACCTGAGGGAATTACAAGAGACAGTGTTTATTTCTCACAAAGTGGTGACAAGATTTGGTATCAATCCATGTAGAGGCATTATCACATCATAATATAGTATTAATTCATAAAGAGTCCTTTTTACATCACCTGCGCCCACTTTACATATTTCTGTTCAATATTGACAAATGTACTACCCCATGAAAGAAACTGACACGCAACATTTACATTTTGATTTTGAAAAAAATAGAATTTCATAATATTCCAGGTGTATTAGAATTATTGAGGAAAAAGTTAGATGGCATATCATCACTGGAAAAGAAATGGAAAGACAGAGAGTGACTCTCATATAGATCACTTTACCAAGTGCTACCCATGTAAGAAATTATCTGATTACAAATTACATTGTAACGCATTTGTCAGATTTCTTATTTTACTCAAACCTGCTAGCCCCCTGCATTACTGATTTATGACAAAATTGACCCTCATTAACTAAAAATTTAATTTCCATTCAATACAGCAATCGCATACTAATAATATCAGGTACAATATCGGTCCTGTTTTTACATGACAACCTTCCAAAATGTCCTATTAAATACTTACTTGTTGTAAAGCAATGTCTGCATGCATAGCCGCTGAAATTCTTTTCACTGTCATCACTGTCCAAGTCACATTCACTGGCGGAACTCAGATCCACTGCAAAAACAGAGTGGGAATTAACATGAATGCAAGAATATAAATACATTTTGTATTTAAAAAAATGGAAAATAATAAAAGAAATATGTTGCAGTGTCACAGTAAAGTACAGTAAATAAAGATACTCCCTGTTATGATAGCAAAGATGTTGTTCTACCTCTAAATATATCTGTTAAATGTGCACATAACATTGTGTTAATTGTGCTTGTGCAGACTTCATTGTAACAGAATTTGCATGTACATGTATATTATTTTGCACATTAGCAGTATGGTAGCTTTAATAGCAAAAATTAATGGCACAATAAGATGCGCCCAGTTCGCCAAAAGGCCTAACGGTGAATGAAAATTTGTAATTTGACATATAAACATGACATTGCTTATTAATATTAAGTCTGAACAAGACAGTATAGTCTAGATATTTTCCAGTCCCATGTCCTAGAAATACAGTTCTATCGCAATAAGTTTCAATTTCAGTTTCGCATTAAGCATTCTGTGTTCGAGACTCGTCGTTCCATGATAATATATTTTTAATGCTACCTAAACAGAATACTGCATCCTAGAATTGGAATATCTATCAATTCTCCACTACCAAGTAATCAAATCCATTTCTTGTTTAAAGATATTTCTGATTTATGTTTCCCTCATTTACTGATCATGCAGCCAATCTAGAATGCCGGGAGTGTACAGTACAGCAAAATACTTTCTTTACACCCTTCATATATTTGTAAACCTTTAAATAGCACAAAATCATTGATTTTACAACAACCCTTTACTTACAGAATTCACTAGAAGGTGGTCTGATGTTGCGTCCATAATTCCTGCGACTAAGTACACTTTGCCTGCGGTGGCGCCTGTAGATGCGATGATGATTAGCCTCAGGGGTCTTCTTCCAGTAGTAGTAAAACTCAACCAGGTCTCTCTGCAAGAAGCCAGTTAAACATTGTAAAAATCATAATTTCTTTTGATAATCCACAGGCATTAGTTCATGGTTTCTTTTTTGTTGTTATTGTATTCACTATTTTACTTTGTCTTCCTGTAATCTTTGTCATTGTTATACTTCTTTATGTTCCTGGAAATGAAAGAAAATTTTATAAATAAAAGAGACTTAGGGGCCATAGAGTGGTGAAGCGTGACGTCATCAAAAATCTAAATTTTTTAATTTTTCTTCATTTTCCGAAAGAGCATCAAAAATAATGTCCAAATGTCGAAAAACCAATTTAATATGTTAAGTATTGGCTGAGATATGACCATCTGAATAAATTTATGTCCTATGGGAACTCAGTGTTATATGCTCTGGATCATAATGGAAACCCAGCTTCGGTACTCTATAACATACATTTTTTATTCATAATGTTTTGGTATCTTTGGACCTCTAATATACACAGGTCCTTAAGAGCAGGGGAAAATTTGCAAGGGTTTTGAGTTAAAGTAATTTAATATATCCTTGAGTAAAAATCCCCCAAAACTGGGGGGGGGGCACAACCAAATGCTATATAAAGATGTCTCATCCTGCCCCCCCCCCTCCCCCATCCTGCCTTGGATATACATTGTACCTTTGTGGCTGAACAGCTTGAAGAAAAGGATTTTAAAGAAAAATCCTTTGTAGAATTAAAAATCATATGCTAGCTAGCATGAATTTATGTATAATTCAAGGGCAGTCACAATGACTTGAAAGTAACAAACTGCATTGTGAACATTGGCAGTCTAACATGTTGTATTAAAATCAAGGATAATGTCCACTCTGGACTGAAGTGGGGGTTGTTTAATAGAGAATGTGATATCTTACTGTATCCTTGTGTTGCAAGAAATCTCTCCTGATCCTGAAGAAGTTCTTGCCAAACTGTCGTAGTCCCCTGATGAACAGTTTCTGCAAGAAAATAGAAGAAGCAACTTGGATTATTTTCTCTCCTAAGTAACTGAAAAACTATATTACGTAATCTTGAAAACTACATCGTGGTGGTGGTCTTATGACTGTCCCTTTGTGACCCTGTGGATGATGGTTCTCCAGAGTGTTCTGGGCTGAGGTGAGTGAGAGACCTGTGAACTGTCATATTCTGTCTGCCTCGTCTCCTTGCAGCTACACTCTACATCATGTATTTCATAATAGTTTAAGATCAAAACTTGCAGCTGCACTACACTAACCTAGACACAAGCTAAGGATAAAGGTCAAAGTGACACAAATAAAATGTAATACTTTCCAATAACAATATTTAATATTCCTGTTTTTGACAGAATGCTTTCAATAGATTCATTTACATTCATCTGATAATATGTAAAAGTTTTTGAAGCTGTCTGCAGTGAAAATGTGTTTTAGCCCATTTATTGTAGAAATTGCAATGTTGCAACATTTTCAGAACCCAAGTCCATTACTCTTCATTTTACATTTACAGTACCCAATGGATGAATTAATGGATCAATTACCGTTTCCTCGTCTGTCCATTTCTTGTCAATAGATCTCGGGACTGGGCATTTAACCAGCTCCTGCAATGCCTTCCCAGTGTTATAGTGGTTCTCATGAAGCTGTGGCGAGACATTAGACAGAGAAAGAAAGATCAAGACAGGGAAACGATGGAAGACAACAAAGAGAGAAAGAGAAAAAGAGAGAAACAATACTCAAGGAATGGAGAATAGGGGAAAGATTGGGGAAATTGAGTAAATACAAGAGTAGAGAGACATCAAAGATAATAAAGAAAGAGATAGACAGACGGACAGACATACAGATGTATTAAAGGTACTATGTCCCTTTTGCAGCCAACCTCAAATTCTGTAGAACTTTGCAGGAATTATGAATATGTCATGTATGTCCTATCTGTGAAATTTAAACGTTAGCAGTGTCCTCATATTCAAATTATGCAAGGAAACCCGTTTACTTGCTAGACTTCACTGTCAGACACTATTGAGTGACTGACTGACTTTTTTCTTCTTTAGTAATAATATACATGAAAAGAGTTGTTAAGGGTACATGAGCATTTGTCTACATCAATAATCCACTTCTTGTGATGGCCCAGATTAAACTGATTGAATCTTTGCGCAGAATAAAACGTATGACCTTTCGGTACAATTGTCTGAAAATCAAGACTATTACTTTTGGGCTCTATAGCCCTAAAGTCGATTTGACAACTAATAGTCATTATTTTTCCACTTGAAGACATTTTCAAGCCCCACCTTTTTTAGGGAAGTTCTAAATAAGTATTATCTTTCAAATGCAGTTGGAATTTAACTTTTTCATTTTTTTGGCCTGCAAATGGGACATAGTACCTTTAAGGGAAAGTTGTGAAAAGAAAAAATTACTCAATACACACATTTTTCCAAGGTAGAATAGCAAATACATTAATAAAATGAACAAAATTGCTAATTAGTTCCACATGATGTGAAGATATATCAAAGATGCAAAAAAAGTTGTTTGCAAGATGTCATAAACAAGAGAATTACATTTTATCCATGGACTGTGTGTTAGTATCTAAAAGTATTGTATGCTCTAAAAAACAATTTTGAGAACAATTGACAAAACTTAGTATTTGAGGCTGCAATGATAAGAAAAACTTTCCCTCTAGGCTCAAATAAAAAATTTGTAATTTCTAGTTGAAATTTTCTTCCTCAATTCACTGTCAATGTGCACTTTTAATATAAACATTAATATAAATATTCATACACCAAAGTGCACCTTTAATATATACATTAATATATATATATATTCATACAGACAAGAATCCTAAATGTTGTTAAAATGACTATACATACCACAGTGATAGCGTTGATGGTGGTATCATCCTTAGATGCTACATCGCATCCTTCTTCAGGGGAGCCCCCATCACACATTCCAACAAAGGCTGCCATACTCCTACAAGGTCAAAGGTCAATACCATGGTCAAATACCACGTTCATGAATACAAGGAGAAAGAATATTTTCCATTGGATATAACTTGGTTGCAGATGTCATCACTGGGTTTGAAAACAAGACTGCTTTGACAATTTGGAACAGTGTTAACCATTACTTCATACACAACAGTTATGTAGCAAAATAAAATTAAACAGCATTTATCAGTAATTAATTTGTTGTTCTTGTCATTTTGCTACAGTTAGTAATCTGTTAATCAGTAAAACATGAATAATCAGTTTGATATTGAACCAGGCACTGTAAATGACCTAATACTATTGTACTAGCTAATAATAGTGATATATAAGATGACTAATGATGTTGTATTACCTAAGAACAGCCGAGATATAATGAGACTACAGTATATGCAAGGTATAAACAGAATTTTCATCAGACACTAACCATTTTGTTGTCTAAATTCATGTGAATGAGAATGACATAGCCATGCATGCATGCTTCCATGCTTAATGTTCTTGATATTCTTGTTTGCTCTTCTTTTCTCTCTGCTCTCATATATATGTAGATACATATCTTGTTGCTACTGCAAGAAGTGTACTTATCTTTTTCCTTGTTTATATTAATGTACGATGGTGATTTTCTTTGTATAAGTATTGCAGAGATGCCAACCCTATAGGATGGCTGCCAGTAACATTTACCATGTTTGTACGTAACTAATGGGGGTCTTTCCGGAACGCAAGACACCGCAGTATAATTTTCGCGCAAAACGTACACAAACACCCAATCACTCTTACTGCATTTCGAACCTACCATTTGTAAGTCCAAAATAAAGATGTGCATAAAAACGTTTTTAAAAATCTGTTTCCAGTCAAAGGATCTTCTTCTTGGGTACTCGCTCTTTTGAGTGAATCCATGATAATATTCAGGAAGAAAACACCTCGTTCAAGCGTCGATTTGGCAAATTCGAATCCACAGTCAAATGGCAGAACTTGTATCCTACACACGTACACTCACGATCACCAGTACCACAGACACACCAGCCCAGGCCGCTAGGCCCGGCGTTCATGGACAACAACACACCGTATACCGCACTTGCAATGCGCCCGCTGAATCACCGAAGTCTTCACTACTATACTTTGAATGGGTATGGCGGGCGCCACGGCACGATCATCTACCACCATGCTCCCCCCAAAATGCATGACCGCATGTAGCATACTAGTATCAAAACAGTAATAATAGAGGCCATGTTGTTTCGGAATTAAACAAGATGGCGGCCGAAGGACCATGTGCGCGAAAGTGCCTATCCAGTGTAGTCAAATTCAGTGAACTTATGAGTAAATGCGTGCGACATGCAGTCCTGTAACCGTAACGGTTGGCATCTCTGGTATTGTTGATCTTTTTATGTATTTCAATTTGGGGGCCCCTTTTTATAAGCCCTGCTTTCTCCTGGGTCACCTACATGTAACCATCATTGTGTTCTGCTAAATTGTTGATATAACTTATTTTTATTGTATATATATTTTGATGGTTGAATAAATAATTGAACTGAATTGAATTGAACTGAATTGAATTGAATTAAGGCCTAACCTGGCAGCTTGGAGATACATCTTGAGATCGACATCATTCATGACATCTGGCATCCAGCTGAGTTCTTCAAAGTCTAGGTTGGTACCCCTGGAAGGGCGTAGCTTAGGCTTGATGTCTGGTAGCACGGCCTGGTGACTGGGTCCAACCCTGATCTCGCCCTGGGTACCGGCAAGTCGTCTGGGTAGGAGCAGAGAGGACAGGATTTTAAAGAGATAAATTGTGTGTTATCATTACTCCCAACACCAAATAAAAGCATCAATATACTAATATTGACACTAGTCTTGGCCAAGGAATTCAAGTAGCTTGAATAAATAGAAATTCCTTGATATCTTAGATGATTAAAACTGAAATGCCTTTCAGCGTACCATGTAAAAGAGTCAACGTTGGAGAGTGAGCAAGCAATTACAAACATATACAAATGTATACATGTAGCTTTAATCTCAGCAATGAATATATATTTATTACATTGCATTATGAAAAAGTGAAAAGGAAGCATTAAAAAAAAATTCATGGATTTGCCTGTTTTTATTCAGCAATTTAAGTGAGCAAGAAGCTACATGTATCAATCAAAATGGCTACGAAAAATAGTTGTTTATGAAATATGAAGGGACCAATCCACCGACTCGTACAGTGTACAAACATGTTCATGTACTCAATATTTTTATTCCTGGAATCTACAAAGTTTACAATACCTTGTTTCTGGGTTGTAGCTGAGGATGTAGAAGAAATTGTTTGATATAACCTCAAAGTCCTTAGCTTCATGGATGTCCTTGAAATGGTACACAGTGCACTTCCGTCTGAAATACACATACCACAGATAATAAACAAAAGAGCATTTCTATTAATTTTCATTTTAAATTGGATTACTTGAGATTAGTACTCCTGGGGGGTGTTTCACAAAGATCCCAAGTTGAACTTAACTCTAAGTTGGACTTAAAAATTATGGAGAGCCATCTGTAGCCTTAAATAAAAAATATTCAAAAGTGAAAATTCAAGTACTTTAAACTTTTTATAAATTCCACATCAAGAACATGAAATCTCCTTGATAATAGAAAATATGGATGGTTTGAATCCACATGTTATGCCTTTTAAAAAAAACTTTTACAAAATATTTTCATAGATGCTAACAGCTTTCCATTATTGTTAAGTCCAACTTAGAGATAAGTTCAACTTAGGATCTTTGTGAAACACACCCCTGAAGATACAGGCATAACATGAATACTGTAGTAGATATTAAGGGACCTGTGAGTCATAATGTCCATTCTGTATAGAGGTAGAGGTGTCATGGTCTAGTGGATACGTCACTAGATCACACGGTTCGCAGTTCAAGTCTCGCTGTGGCATTATTGTCCTTTGGCAAGACATCAATCTACATTTGCCACTCTCCATCCAGGTGAAGTAAATGGGTATACAGTAGGTCATCATGATCATCATTTCTGATCTTAATTCTATAGGTTTATCAGCATTATCACAAAAGGATAATTCTTAAATCATAAGGGTGTCTACAACTGAAGTGATCGATTTATTCTTGTCACTGACTCTAACCATTTTCAGAGTGACATACCTCAGAGCAGATACTGGATATGTTTCTATGGTATCCGAAATGAAGAGCTCCCTGTTCTTGGCAATGGGATCTGCAGTTACAAGGGCTTGACCAGAATCTAAAATGAAAATATGAAAGCATCACGTATAGTGCTTGAAGTAAAATTGCATTTCACACAAAACTCATTTATTATGTACTTTGATATTGTCTTGAATTGGCAAAACTATGATGAGATCCTGTTCAGCTCCTGGATGTCAACATAAGGGATTACAAATTGAAAATTACAGATGTAAGTTCAACAACTGAAGAGTTCATATACATTATGTAAAAGTTTATGTTAAATAACTGTAATAGCTGAAATGATACTTGAAAATTTAAAATTGCTGTGCTATTATGTTTTAGGTGCACAAATACCATTGTCATTCGATAGGCTACTTTTATAGCTCTGACAAAATTCAATTGATTATCAGTTTAATAGCCATGTACAGATAAATGTACCTCACCTGGTTCCAGGCAGACAACTAATGTCCAGTATGCATTTTCACCTCCTCTAACACGTTACTTCATATGGAGAATTAGTTCGGTATTATGAACATATTTTCCCCATCCCCTTTGTAAGCATAAAAAGTTATCTAATAATAAAGTACCCTACAGCTATCACTATGCTGTGAAGAAATACCTTACACCTGTACATGTACATATAATCAAATTAGTTCAAGTTCAAGTTTTATTTCCACATCTGATTTAAAAAATAACAAGTATAATTTATATGCATATATACAATAACAAATATTAAAATGAATCATCTTCAATTGAAATCATAATGTGGTGGGAATAACAGAGGTTAATGGCCTATCAAGGTTATATTCCCAAAGATAATAACATTTACATAAAAGTTTCTTAACTATACTAAAAACAAGATAGAAATACAAAGATTAAAATCTGGTCTTCATACTTACTGTTTTCAACATGCCTATCCTGCATAAGAAGCTGGTAGACAGAATCAGGGACTTCTGATTGGCGATAATACCATTTCACAACCACATGAACGTTGTCTCTCTTGCTCTGCAAATTCAAATATTTCAATATTATATAAATTAAAAAACAATCGTTACTGTTTCAAATCAAAGCCTGAGATTGGAGAGTCTTCGGAAGGGGGGGGGGGAGAAGGTAAATATATGATAATGACTTTTCTATATATGGGGTGATTGTTGGAATATGTAGAGCATTTATACATAAGGCCTGTTGGTCATAAAACTGAAGGCTAATCCTGGTGATTGACAACACCTGTTATTGGGTAAACACCCGAATGGTGTTGAATTCCCCATGACAGCCCAATACTTTGCATCTTTAAGTATGACCAATGGTAAACAAATAACCATAGAACTTTGCTCTTACCACTTTGAATTCATGGACAGCACAGATGAAATAAGGCATTTCAGCTCTTGGACTTTCCATATAGACATCATCTGGAGGAAAAAGCGGAGAAAAAAACTTATAAATAAACTTTTGATCTTTGTGTTTAGTAGAAACACATAATCAAATAAATATAAGCATGAGAAGAGATCAATTATGCTAAAATAACAAAACAGGGTATTAGTTGTGCACTAAAAGAACATTATGCATTGTACATTCTGTATATCCATATCCATTTTGAAATCTCCAATTATTTTTTTAAGAGAAAATTTGTTTTAAAAATCTTAACTGAAAACTTAAACATACATGTACATAAAATACAAATACAGGTATGTTTTGTTAATACATCATGTGTCATATATGTTTTGTTTTTTCAATAATTGAATTACCAATCAACAGAAGAGCATGCAGGAAAATCCACATGAAATTTGTTTGTCTCATGTAACAGTGTAAGTAGACTCTAGACCCTTGTGGTCAAGATTGTGCTGTCAAGATCTACATGATTTCACGATCCAACATCTTTCAAAAGAGTCTCTCAAACTTGAAATCCAATAACCGAGAATATAAAGTTATAAACCGCATTTTTTATTGCTGCAATTACATGTATATAAGATTTTCATGAATAAAAAGTACATGTACATGTGCATCATAGATAACCTTGAGAATTGTTTTCTTCTTCAATAATTGAATTACCAATAAATAGATTTTCATAAATATAAGGTTCATGTACATACAAAGATATTAAACCTTGAGATTTGGCTCCACGACCGTGAAGTATATTTGCATATTTGAAAAACTTGGAAATTACAATAAATTCATACCTCCAACTTCATACTCAGTGCCGTCCTTTGCCCTGTAAAGCACCACCTCACCGTCACTATTACGCTCCGTTCGCGATTCCAGATTGCTTTTGCGAGACTTGGTGCGTCTGGTTTCATGCTCCCCATCCTCCTGCTTGTCGTTGTCCATGGACGAGCGCTTGCGTCGATGGGTAGGGGTTGAGGGGTTGGAGTGGGTTTCCCCCTCTCCTTCCTTTTTCTCACCCATGATGGAAGGAGAGGTCATGTGTCAAAGTAGAACACCGTGGACAAAGGTCAACAGAGCTGTGGGTTATTAAAAGAAAATGACATTTTGAGAATATTATGTCAGGGGCTCTGTCATGACAGGGCTCCTATACAAGGTAGCCCCATCAGGCGCCCCCCCCCCCCTAGCTTGGCCTTGTGCGAGCCGTAACTCGTAAGGCCAAGGCCGTACCGTCTCAAGTGTCTGTGTACATATGGGGTATTAAAAGCTGGTCCGGAAGGTTGACAAATGTTAGTTTTATTAAAGAATTCCCCATACCAGCAGTAGGGGCGCTGGTCCGAGAATGAGGAACGTCTGCATAAACAAGGTTATCCTCGTAAACGCAGACAAATTGCATCCAAAAAATTAAGGATCATCTGCATTTTCACCGACATTTTTTATCCTCGGCGCTCTGCTGGTTCAGCGTGAGAAAATAACCCCACTTCATTGTCTACTTTTATGGTTTGTACGTCTTTCCGAGAATTTATCGCTCATAACATGAAAGTCTCTGTTCAAAGTCAATGTAAACTAAAATGCATCAAGAAAATCATCACGAAATTTGTTTTTCGCATATAGCCAACACGCCGCTCAAAAATATGAAACTTCTGTAAAAATGCGGACGATCCTTATTTTTGAGGACGCATCCGTCCGTGTTTACAAAGACGGTCCTCATAATGCAGACGATCCTTATTCTCGGACCTCGACCAGCACCCCTACAGACCAGACGTTTATTTCTGTCAAGCTTCTAATCAATGCAATCTATGCCTACGAGAGTATTTCAAATGCCTATTTATATGATTATAGTTTATACATGTACATGGTGTAGTAGACCTAGTAGTAGTACTACGTACATGTCTCATCCACACACAGATGTCCATTGAACAGTCTCACATTCACAATGCACATACTAAATTACTACACTACAGTCTACGAGCCAAGCACCTTCATACACTACATACGAGCTACGGCCAAGCCCTACGCTACAGTGTACGCGATGATCGAAATCTTTATTATTCTTCACCCCATTTTTAACCATCTAAAGTCATAGAAATCAAGCACACAGAATAATACGATTTATCTTACATATTCAAACAATATATAAATATATGAATCAACCACACTTACATTCTGATAATCACAGCAATACCAATTTAATAGCTACATATTCCGTGTTTTGTATTCAACATTCTCTGTACAAATTTTGTCATTGTCTCAAAAGTATGGTGTCGTTAAGTAGAAAAGAAAGGAAAAGACCAAAACACGGGGCCCAGGATTAATATTCGCCCAATTTTAGCAGAGGAGATTTTAGGCCAAGGATGTTCCTTAGTTAAATATTTATACCCGGGGATTGGGGGGGGGGGGGTTCTCACATATTAAGTCATACGGGAGTGTGTCGCTATAACGGGTCTCAAAAAAAATCCCTAAACATGGGTCACATTTTCAACAAAAAATATCCCTAATTATAGCTCCGTTTTTTATTAATTTCCAAAATTTGTGAAAAAATGGGGTTTACTTCGAGAAAAATCCCCAAATGACCCCTATAAATGGGTAGGGGGTTCGAGACTTGAGTGGCACACCCCCGTCCACTGAACCACATCTGAGTGCCCCCCCCCCCCCCACGAGGATTTTACACCTATTTCAGAACTTGAAAACTGTCCAAATCCAATTTACAGTTTTTGTACTCTATCATTTTCCTAGACAGAAAAATCCGTCTGCTTGGATGAAAATTAATTATATCGTCTTTTGACGCTCTCCTTCAAGGAGAGGAATTCGTTGAAACCAGACAACGTACAGTCTCAGTGCCAGTGAAACATAATATGCCTGAACCGGGCCCGAACTTTTTCGGTTTAAAAAATGGTGGAATAGATGATTTCAGTAGAACAAGCACCGTAAAATAATGAAAGGAAGGGGAAAAATATACATAGCACATTATGAGGCAGCTATATAATTGACAAACTTTATATCTTCGGAATGTCAAGCCTTCCCCCCCCCCCCCGAAAAAAAAGAAGGGCCCAAAATGGATGATTTCACCTTCACGGAAAAACCCACTCGGTTGACATGTGGCCTAGCTGGCATTAATTAACCATCTGGTTAATATATACGTATGGCGTAATGATCGAACAAAAACGTTTGGGGGCAGAAAAAACCCGCATCATCACCACTCTTATGTTTCGTGCAGACAGGGGCGTCTCTAAAGGGGGGGGGTGAGGGTGCGACACCCTCCCCCACCTGTTAGGATATTGTCGGTAAAATTGCGCTGCCGTCTGGGAGAAAAAAAAAGGGGGAGGGAGAAAAAGAGAGGAAAATGGAAAGAAAAGAAGAAAAAAGGTGAAAATATGAAAAAGAAAAAGAAAGGAAAGAAAGGAAAGAGAAGAGAAGAGAAGAAATAAAAGAAGAAAAGGAAAAAAATAAGAAAAAGAGTAAAAGGAAACAAAAGGAACGGGGAGTGAAAGAGAGGCGAGAGAGGGGGAGGTAAGAGCCTGAGAGAGGAGGGGTGCATGGGAGTCAGAGGCGTACGTAGGGGGGGGGGGGTTGGGGGTTCAAACCCCCCTTTGGTATTTTTATGTGTGTAAACCCCCCTAAAAAAAACTAAACCCCCCCCCCCTGTTTTTTTTTTTTTTTTAAATCATCCACTCAACTAATTCCTGATCATGCATTAACCTCATACCTATACCATCACCCATGCCTAAGCTTTTTTAGGAAGGGGAATCCCGTAAAGTAATTTTGACATTGTAAGAAGTAAACATGAGCAATATTTCATTGTAGGTTACTTTAAAGTCAACCTCTTTTTTCATCGCCCATTCACATCAGTTCCCTGAAGGAAATGCTGGAATATATATATGTCCCTCTTTCTCTTGTCTGTCATTCGTTTCCCTTCCCCCTTCCTTTTTTCTTCTGCCCGTTTCTTCCCCTTTTCCTTTTTCCCAGGTAGCAAGCCCATATGGGGCCCACATGGGAATGATCTGGGTCACTAACTTGTGCCATCTGGGCTAAATGGAACCCATGTATCCCATATGGGGCCAATATTTAGTAATCCATATGGGATCTCTCTGTGCCAGCCCTTATGGGTCCCAGATGGGAATGAGCTGGGCGTACACATAATGGGTAGAATATGAATATGCCCATATGGGTAACACATGGGGTAAATCTGGGTTAACCCCCGTGGGATATATTATCTGGGTTAACCAATATACCAGATGGGATTAAGCTGGGCATACCCATATGGGTCCTATTATGCTTCTTGGGTGCAGATGCCTTCGGGCCCCAGATGGTTTTCCATATGGGGCCCATGTTTCAGAGAATATGGGACCCATGTGCGGGTCCCGCATGGGCTTGCTACCTGGGTTATTATCCTCTCTGTCTCTCACTGTCTCTCTCTCCCACTCTCTACTTCTTTTTTTGCACTTTTGCGCTTCGCGCTTAACATTTAGCTCGTTGCTTTTTAACACTGCGGCTTTGCATTTGGCGCACTGCATGTCAATGGTGCTGTTGATTGAATAAATTGAATGAATTCAGCAATTCCTGATGAATTCAATTTATTCTTGTTTCATATACGGTTGTCTCATTTACTTCGTTTTCTATATGTTCATATATGTATGTATTACGAACATGAGATAGCGAAATGTGTATATTGATGGTCATCTTGCGAGTAATAACCATTAACTACTCTCATCGGGCTCTCATCATTAATTTTTCTCTTCATTTTTTTTGTTGATGGTGAATTATTGGGGGGATGATTTTACAGGCCACCCCCACCCCCCCGGATCGACACCCATGGTAGCAGGTATCAACTCAACAGAGAGTATAAGTGTAGAACTAGAATTAAATTATGTTGATATGTGCTAAAATACATGAATTTAGCAAGATCTAGACTGGCGTCATGTCGAAATGTTTCCGTAATAACTTTATCTTTTCAATCTAAGATCATTATGAAATATAAAGAAGTGAGAAATGGCTGTAGTAACGCAATCATGGACAATTAAATTAATGATGCAACCCAATAGATTTAATCGCATTTCGTTACTGAGGAGGCGGGGTCTTAATATCCCTTCCTTTAGTTATGGTCTTGAAATGTATTGAGTCTTTTTTCTATTGCATTTCACTGATATAGCCACTTAATATTAATCAAACCCATTTCAAGTTTATGGATTCGGTTTCTTCGAGTGTATAGTGTCAGTCTCAATTAAGTATTTGAATATCCTTTAACAAAACAAAAAAATGAAACAGAAACAAAGATGAGTTAATTATCTCGATTGATATTTAATTGTTACATGTTATAAGAACCCTCCAATTAATGCTGAAACCAAAAACTTAAGATTTTCCCAAGGTTGAATATTGTACAGCCGTGATTAAAACAATGAAAACTATTAGATCATAATTTTATTCTGTGACTTGAAAATGAAACATAACCAAAGTAGGATGATATTTCTCATATTCAGCCTTTTTTTAAACATAGTTCAGCAATGAACAAGTTATTCTGATATTTTTTTTTCATTTCTGTACAGATAACTATTGAGACAATTAAGACAAGAAATTATTTGACATACACGTATATATCTGTGGCTGGGAGATGGAATTCGCTATAAATCACTAACGATTATTTGCCAGGGTATGACTTCCACTACACATTATACAGAGACGAAAGACATTGTATGTGTATTTCTCCTTTATCTCTAAAAATGAACAGGCATGGAATATATTTATTGGTATTGCTAGTAGGTGAAATACAGAAATATGGATAAACAGAATAGATACATTGATACGTTAATTTGAATATTACAAAACATACCCTTTAATTACAATATATCTGACATTGCCATATGAATCTAAGTTCTATATATTCTATATATTCGAAAAAGACCTTCAAAGCAAGAACGATTTCTACACTGACCATACTCTTAGAAAAAGACGTTTAAAATAGAACATTGTCCTTTCTTTAGAACCCCAAGAAGAGTCTCCAGTGGAAGCTTGTAAAAAGGTTTTTGAAGGAATTAACCACCGACTGTCATTGATATCGATGCGCCGCACAGGATAAATAAGAAAGTGTATGCTCATGTTCGCTACCATCCTGACAAAATGAATAAGAAGCGAAGAAATAATGAATAAATGTCAAGTTTGCCCCGAACCAAGGCATCAAGATAAAACAGTATTTGCCCTAATTTATTTGCACATTGTTATCTCTTCTATTTTCACGAAATACTTAATAAAGTTAATAACTTTTCCCAAATGTTGGGCTCTTAGAAGAAACCCTTTTTTCAACATTAAAACTTTTGTATTGCTTAAAACTATGATCTAACTGGTAGAGCCATAGTCTATGCTTAAAGAAAACTTAGTGACACCTGCAAAACCTTTAACTGTTCAGAGTTCTTAGTAACATCGCTCTCTTTAGAACCACTGCGCAATATCAAGATTCCCTTAAGAACCGTTTTCTTTCTAACAGTGCAATCCGTAATATCCATTATCCATTATTATGTACTGCACTATTATGACACTATAGTTAATATATTTCATATCGCTTACATTGATATTACACTAAAGCCCTTCTGTAAGAAAACACGAATGCTATGCTTACACCGTGGGCTATTGTTAATACTACCCGTACTGATTATGGATACCGTTTTCTTATTGCTTCATTCATAATTATATTGACGAATTATTTGAATCACTATCCGTCCCCTGAGTAAAGACACAATTTAAATTCACCACGATGACTTAGCAATGTTGATCTTCTCTTTAATTGTATAAAGGTCTTGCGTCTGCAACACTTACCCAACAAATTATTGAACTTTCGTCTTGTGAATGTTTTCGTAGATCAACACTTTCAATATTAAGGACAATAATCTTTGAGTGATCTTACTTCGCACTGCAGAGGAAAAAGTAGATGAAAAACATGCATCCATTTTGCCCTGCACTGTCTTTAATTATCTTGGCTACTATACGAATTCACATACAAGGCGTCTTCTCTTGGAGATTCGTCATTAAGATTGCGAATGCTAAAACTGTTACCGTAGATAGGACCATCAACGAAGACATTTGAGCCTACATCATTTTCTGCCACACGATTTGTCTGATTCATCCTCCTTCTCCAGTCGTCATTCGTAGGAGCTCTGTCTCCTTGGTCATGATGCTTGGTAACACGTCTCGATGCTGCAGAACGATGGATCTTCTTGGTCTTTCGGCTCATGTCAGGTTTAGCGTAAAGAGCCTCCACGTCTACCATTGG